TCGGAAAGGCGGCCTGAACAACTGCAATGAAATCATCCTGCAGGTTTCACTTGGCACAGGATAAGACACGGGAAATTACCTCTCATGCCATGCAGAGGACTATACCCAGAACTGCCTCGGGCGCAGCTCTAGTGTCGGTGCTTGACCCACTGCAGTGACTCCTCGTGAGGTCTTACTGTCAACACGTGTCGGATCGACGGAGGGGCACCACGGCTTGGGGTTGAGATTTTTAATCATAACCCTTTCACTGTTTTTTGCTCAACACGTGTGAGTCCATAGAGGGCATTCCACCATGTGCTTCTTTTTTTCTGGATCATTCCTCGCCGGTTATCCGGTTTCGAGATTCCGCCGTAGCCGCGAGGTATCTATCTAGACTACTGGAGTTTCTCCGTCCAGGGCGGGTAATACTCGGAGGTGGCTATTGCCATGCCTAACAAAAGTCATGGTCGATTTAATACAGCTGCAGAAGAAACACTGTATGTGCCGGTGGGAAGGCTGATAAGGCAGTCAGATCAGAACAACGACCCTTCCATTCTCTGCAGAAGAATGTTCCATAAACCCGGTCTGTCAACGGGAACACCAGCGCGGCGCCAATAGTTCCCACACTAAGAATCTTCTGGCGTCCTCGACGTTGAGACCCAGCTGGCAGGATCCAGAGGGGCAATTCTTCAGCGACAAGCCAGCCCTGAATTGTCACTCTCGCTATACTAGTTCGACCCATATGGCGCATTCGTATGCCACCGGCACAAAAATCAGTCAACAAAGATCAGCTGAATTGGGTCCCACGTAACGATCTATGTGGGCTTTCCCTGCCCATACCGTATACGTTGATCTGGTTTCTTACCAATATGGAGCCAACTTCACCTCTGAAGGGCTTTCATCCGTCTTGTCGTGTTTCGCGACATGCCAGGAATGCGTACCCCGCCACCTCCATCCTGGCCAAACTTTCAGCTCTGCCGTCCATGGTGGATCCACCTCCCCTACCCATTCGGGCCTTTCTATCCTAAAGTCAATGGCTTGCTGGTTCCACTATGGTCTGGCTTTCAGCAATTTACTACCAGGTAGAACTCTATGGAGCAATATCTCTCATTCGAGCGAGCAGGAACTAACTCACACCGCTAGATGGGGATATTGAACACTTATGTGAGCATCAATTTATCAATTAAAGCTTCTTAAATTGATTCCTGCCCAAGTATTTACTTTGATGTCCTGCAATAGTCTAATTCTACGGTTCCCCCACTGGTATCTGCGAGATCCATCTCTTTGATGTTAAGGTGATGTGATCACCTGATATAAGAACCTACGTATCCTGCACTTGAATTAGTTACTCCTAGGTACCTACAGTATATCTCTACATGCAAAATTTACCATACCGTAGATATAGGTACCAATCAAATCGATAAAAACCTCCTAGTAGTAGTAGTAGTAGTAGTAGTTATATAGTGTAATCTTTCCGCCCATAAAATCTTCCTTCGCACAGACGGACGAACCCAAATTTCCAGATTGAAGTCATGAAGAAGATTTGCTACTAGCTAAACAACAAGGAAAGATGGGACCCCTTTACTCTATTCTAGTCATAGTACATTCTTATTACAAATCCGCACTTTCCCACATATACTATACTATGGGCTGAACATGGGAATATGGCTCCGTGTTATCTGGAGGTTAACACGTTCTATGGTGTATCTTTGGTATTCTAGAATCATGCCAATTAGTGGAGTTCAGGTGACTTGTATATCAATCACGGTATCCGTACTTACATGGTGAGGACTATCTACTCTGGGGGTGGTGACTTTTGTGTGTCATGGACATGTGATGATACTATGAGAAAACCATGCTAGCGACTTCTACATGATATGCTATACTTTCCAACAGACATACGCATAGTGTTTAAAGGATATACTTAAGTTGGCATGCTATGAGAGTTATTATTCTTCATCCCGACTACAATGATTCCCTTTTAACATCCACCACAGGCCCCTTATACACCCTCCGCCCCTGGACAACATACATCGCCAAACTAATCACAAACACCCCCACGAAGAGCACCACGCTCCAATTAAAATTATTCAAAGTCACAGGGATCTCAGTCGGCCAGAAGGACCAGAACAGCGCGAAGATCACATATACCAACGCTACCGCGTTGATCCAGATCCCGTGTTTCCCTAGACTCCACCGTCTCGGGGGTAGTGTCTCCGGACATGCGATCTTGCGATACATAACGCAGCTGATGGAGATCGCGTAGGTCCACATGAGCGCTGCGACGTTGAGGGAGATGATGGCGTTGAAGGCGGTGTCGGAGCCGATGTTGATGAGAGAGAGGAGGCCGCTGATGATGCATGATAGGGCGATGGCGTTGACGGGGAGTTTGTAGTGCTGATTAACTTTGGAGATCCACTTGGAGAAGGGCAGGCCCCGGTCGCGCGCGAATGCGTAGGTCTGACGGGCTGTGGAGGCGTTGAAGAGGATGTTGCTGAAGATGACGGGGATGAGGATTATGGCGGTGAGGCCGTTGACGCCGGCGGTGGAGACGGCCTGTTTGAAGACGTAGATGAAGGGGAATCCGGTCGGGTCGTCTAGGGCGTCTTTGACCGAGGGCATTGCGAACATGAGGGTGATGATGAGTACGAGGGCTAGGATCCCGTTGCTGAAGTAGCCGCCGCAGATGGCCATGGGGACGTACCGGCCGGCGTCGCGGACTTCTTCGGACATGTGTGCCGTGGCGTCTGAGCTGAGGGACCCGTAGATGGCGGATATTTGCCCGATCATTAGTGCTAGCCCGACGTTGTTCCAGCCGCCGTAGAGACTGAATTCGGTGAAAACGGCTTTTGCGGACTGACGGGGTGCCATGGCCCAGAGTACGACGATCACTACTACCCAGCAGATGGTGTGGAGAGCTAACAGGGCGTTTTGTATCCGAGGCATCCAGCTGGCGGCGTAGACGTTGAAGAAGTAGATGATCAGGATCATGGCGAAGACGAAAAGGGTGCCCTGCCATCGTTTGGGGTCGTAATCGGGGTTGCGCACGCTGATGAGCCCTTGGATGATTGTGCCGGTTAGGAAGGACCCTGATGCGGCGCCGGCCTGCCAGGCGAGAACAGACATCCATCCGGTGATGTAGCTGAGGAACTTTTGGTATCGTGGCGAGGCGAATTCGGACACCCAGTGGTACTGGCCTCCTGATGTTGGAGCCATGGACGCCATCTCCGATAATGAGACGATGATGAAGCCGAATCCGACAAAGGTCCACACGTATGTCCACACCAAGCCAGCCATTCCACCGTCTTCGAGGCCTTCATAATTGGATCTAGTCACTCGGATGCGTTAGAGATGGATAAATGTGGGCTGTTAGGATATGATAGAGAGGAGATGTACATTAAAATAAACTCCCAGGTAGCCTGCAAGACCGAAGCAAAACTCAAGGCAGCTAGAGGTCGGAGATTTCTCTAGATTTAAATACGATGTCAGCCACTCGTTCACGTTTTGTAAATCGCTGAATATTTGCAGATATCATACCTTGAACTCCTGCGCTTTGCCCATGCGATTCATATCGCTATGGTCATATCGTGTGCCGGCCTCGCCGCTACTCCGCTCGCCGGCTTCGATTTCCAGCGGATGACAGCCCGTCGTCACCACTCGGTCGCCCTTCTGAATGCTGCCCGCTTCCCCTGTTGCGGACGACATTTTGGAACACTGTCAACGCGTTGAATTGAAATGAAGAGAGATGCGGCTGTGGAGGCTAACTCTGCGACCACAGACTAAATACGAAACGGGAAATCAAGCTGTGTGACGTGAGGGATCAAACAAAGAAACCGGCGGCCATTTCCGCCAACATCCCCTTATTTTCCCTGCAACTGGCCGTTAATTCACTGAGCTTTCTCCTAGGTGAATGGGATATGAAATTTCTTTCCTCATCATGACTCAAAGTGTGGCAGCATCCAGCGTGGGGTTTCCCCAGTCTTTGTTCTCCGACCGCCATCAGGGCCCAGGGGCCCGTGGCAGCAAGGGTCGGAACGCACTCACATGGTTCATGGTACTCCTCCCGGAGAATGTGGCCAGTCAACATGGATACAAGATGTCGATCTCTGCGGCCTTGATTTCCCAAGGAGGCGCAGACCCTCGCAATGTGCTGGCGGCGGGAGCAACAGACAACGTGAGCGTGTGTAGCACGGCTCACCAGCTGCGACACTTTGACATGCCCGCCACTCGATCGGCACTCTTGGCCTGCAGGGAATTTCACCCCCCTCTTTCCATCGTGACGAGATGATTGATGGCGTTGACAAGGGAGACACGGAACTACCAGGATGATCTAATTCGAAATCGGGCCATTAAGGATAGCAGGTTTGATTGCCAATAGGGAATCTCCGGATAACTTCGATGGTCATTGGACCGACCATTTGCCATGGCACGAAATTAGGGCGTGGCTGCAACCCTTGCCTGGATAATTGCTCTCTTCTTTGATCTCCCTCCTCAACACAGGCCCAACGTTGTTTAATCGGGTTAAACCCAGGCTAACCAGGACGGCTAGGCGCGTGGCATGAGATAGGAATGTCTGGATGTGATCAGGTGCAGTGGTGATAGGCATTAAGGTTTTGGGGGCCCATTCTCGTGGTGGATGGCCACTCTCAGCGAGTCAGCGTGGCCAGCTCTGAAAATAGCTCATTTCTACCAACGCGCGATGCGGAGAGGAGGGGTCGATTAGCAGTTGATCAGCCGGGATCCAGTTTTGCTGTGCTTATTCGCGTCGGTATCCACCAACAACATGCGATCGGGGCGTACCGTCAAGACTTCGGGCTTTCTTGGTGGATGTCTGCTTGTCCTACCGTCCGGCACAGAGGAGTGTGCCAACAATGTCTGCCGACCGTTCTTTTCACTTATCGCTTTCATCAGAACACAATCAACCGGGCCATGTGTGCTTGTCTAGGGTTACACACCGATCCTATCTTTTCTCGTATAAGCATACCCCCTGTCCGACCAGCTCAGAAAATAACAAACAATCGATGCGTCTCCAACGCGACTGCGGAAAGGCTAAGGTGTCAAGGAGTCACTCAACCCTGTCGGTCAAGGCTGTCAGCCGCAGAAGTAGCCGGCACACCCACCCTACCTCCTTCATTTCAGCGGCGCGATCTTTCTCAAAGAACCCGTCGGTAGATAATACCACAATGTCGTGATAGTTTCTCTTCGACACCAGTGACAGCAGGTCTCAGTCGCAGTGCCGCCTCTTGCGATGGCCGTCCTGGCCTCATCGCTTCCTCCTGGAGTTTCCCCTCCATTAACGGAGGATAACGACCATAACCATAACGGACTCGTCGTCATCGTCACTTCACTGGCTCTATTCTTGGTTCTTGCCTCGCTGGTTATCCGGTTATTCGCATCATCAAAAAGAGGCCTCATGCTCCAGGATGATCACGTTCTGTTTGCCGCAGCAGTATGTCAGCTTCCTCTAGCAGAGCCCGTTCACACACTAATCAATCTCTCGGGCCCCCAGATATGTGCCTGCACTCAAGTATCACTTGTGCTTCTCCAGGTTCACCATGGGTGGGGCAAGTCAAAGGAGCTGATCTCATCCAGTGACTATACGCAAATGGAAAAGGTACGTTATCCGAGCGCAGCGGCCGACTAACGAGCTAATCGCCTTAGGCCGGATACGCAGCGGATCTGTTCTACGTCCTTATCATTGGCTTGTCAAAAATAGGGACCATGCTATTCTATCAAAATCTTTCCTTGCAGCGTACGAAGTGGACGGTTAATGTCATCATATCCTTATGTGGCCTGTGGGCCATGGTCGCAATCTTGCTTCTAGCCATTCGGTGCAGCAACCATCCTTGGACCGACATCGATGACGCCTGTGCCGGGCTTTATCCAAGATGGCAAGCCATCTGTGCGCTTGATATCGTTTTGGAGGCCGTAATTCTTGCATATCCAGCGATAACGATCCGAAACGTGCAAATAAGCTTGAGCAAGAAGCTCAAGGTCCTATCCATTCTCAATTGTCGGATCATGTATGCCACCTATCTACCTATGTGCTGAAACTCAGTATGCTAACATCGCTCCCTACACTCCAGATTGATCCCCCTTTCCGCCGTGCATCTGTACTATATCCACTCCCAAATATATTCCTCCAACCCCTCGCTTGTCGGGACCTATGCTACCATGGTAGCGGAGCTCCACCTCAGCCTCAGCATTGTTCTCCTGACAGTATCATGTTTGAAGATGTTCGTGGCAGTCTACGAGGATGATCATGGGTTCGCATACACGGAAGATGCTTCGAATTCGCAAAGTCGCAGCGGTCGCACCCCACAGAAGTCGTGGCGATCCTCTCGCCCGGTCAAAGATCTGGGCTCGTTCGGTAGCAGCTGTGTTGAAGAAGAGCCGATCTTACGAACAGAAGCGACCGCATCGGCTTCGTCACCCCCACTTGAAGGGCACCAAAGCAATGCAATATTAAAGAGTGTACAGATATCGGTCACCCGGGAGAGCATTGAATTGGGCGAAATAGCGGAACCATCTTCTGCTGCGATACCCAGGTCAACATGAGTTTCTTCGTTGGTGAGTCAATTGTATGATTCAGGATGTCTCAATTGTCAATAGATAATCTTAATGAATTGGGTCGTTTGTGGGTTCCTCACACCCCTTTATATAATTCATGCTGTCCGTTAATAGTGCCCTGCGAACATCTTAATCCTCCCATTACTACGTTGCTACATATGGAAAACAGGGTTGACAACCACGACCTACTGAAGTTCGGTACATGGCCAATGCCCTACGGTCCTCGATATTATTCTTCCTAAGGAATGAGTTGATGAGCGGCATTGCTGAAGACGCATGTACGATTACAATGTACCAAAGCATTTGACAGAGTGATATGTATCCCATTCGGCCTTATTTGCACTTTACTGCGGGTCAGGATGCATATGACTTCCAACAGCGAGGAGTCTGATCCCGGGAGGCTTTTCGTGCTTATTCCTCCCGTATGAACTGCACTCAGTTATGAACCATAGCCTCGTGTCTGACTGCCAGCAAGCATTGTGCGTATCCGTCCATTCAATTGTGATGATTCTGTCCTAGAATCTAACGCGATTGTTTACTGGAGCACAATTGTAGCTACACCGTCATCATGAGCCAACCCGATATGGGAGATTAGAATGTTGGACACAAAAGGATGGTGGATAAAACTTCCATTGCACGTGAAGAGGACAATAGCCTAAGAAGGACTGCAATCCGTGGATGGAATGCTTCAGCCAGCCCCGAGTGGTCCCCGCACTTCGACGCCTCGGGCTAAAACCGACCGGGCCCGTGCGGACATTCCCATTCCTGGATTATTTACTCCCCCGCATGCAGACCCCACTGCTTTTCTATGTTTGAGTGGCACATCAGGCGAGCGTGCAATTCAGGCTGATATAATAAAGGATGTCACTTTCCATGTGTCCGGCGTACATGACGAACTGCGGACTATGGCCGTGGTATTGAGTGTAAGGGTTACTTAAAGTATGCCGGAATCGCCTTCCAGTCATCACGCACGCTTTGAACCTACGATCGGCGGTCAATTCGCCTCTCACGACAATGATACGTCTGGTCTACCTAGCTTTGTTGTTCTCTACTGTTTGCGGTCTTCCAACCGCAACAAACCATAGCGGACAGCCCGTAGTCGATCTCGAGTATGCCAAGTATCAAGGCGTCCGTCTAGAAGGCGGAGTCGACGAGTTTCTTGGGATGCGCTATGCATCTCCGCCAATTGGTGATCTAAGATTTCGGGCGCCCCGGGATCCGTATGCGAATCAAACGCTTCAGAGTGCGACGGAGGTAATATTCTGGCTTTCCGTTCTACATGTCAACTGACACCCCTCTAATACTTTCCAGTATGGGCCAATTTGCATCGGGGTAGACGAGGAAGAGTCGCCTGGCGAAATAAGCGAAGACTGCCTGTTTATCAATGTTTTCAAGCCATCCACAGCCACGTCTCAATCAAAGCTACCTGTTTGGCTCTTCATACAGGGCGGTGGCTACGCAGAGAATTCCAATGCCAATTACAACGGAACCCAAGTGATACAACAGTCTGGTGACGCGATCGTATTTGTAACATTCAATTATCGTGTTGGTGCCCTTGGCTTCCTGGCCAGTGAACAGATTAGGCAGAACGGTGACTTGAATGCCGGACTGCTTGACCAGCGCAAAGCTCTTAGATGGGTCAAACAATACATTGAGAAGGTAACAATTGTAGACATGCAGATATTGCAGCGGTGCTGACGTTAACAGTTCGGGGGCGACCCCGACCACGTCGTGATCCATGGGGTGTCGGCGGGTGCTGGCTCCGTTGCCTACCATTTATCCGCCTACGGTGGTAAGGATGAAGGGTTGTTCATCGGTGCCATTGTTGAGTCATCCTTTTGGCCAACCCAGCGAACAGTATCGGAAATGGAGTTTCAGTTCGAACGATTCGTCAATGACACAGGCTGTTCTGTTGCTCGTGATCCCCTGGAGTGCCTGCGGACACAGGACATTGCAACCATTCAGAAAGGGAATACTGCCTCTCCCTTCCCTGGGGGAAGCAGCTCCCCGCTACCAGATTGGTACTTTCTCCCTGTTACCGACGGCAACCTAATTCCGCACGAGTTGTACCACGCGTTCGACGCAGGCAACTTCATCAAGGTTCCCGTCTTGGTAGGCGACGATACCGACGAAGGCTCTAATTTTGCCTACAACGCTAGCAGCAGTGCAGATGTGTCGCAATTTTTCAAAAATAACTATCCGAATCTCAATTCCCAGCAACTTGACACCATCAATCAAGTTTATCCTCGTGGCAAGCTGCTCCCACGGCACGCAGCATACTTTGGTGCTTCCTCCGCAGCATATGGGGACGCAACATTTACTTGTCCTGGAAATCATGTAGCGTCATCAGCTGCCAGATACTTACCAGATGCAGTGTGGAACTACCGAGTCAACATCATCGATGAATCAAATATCGCTGGTGGCATCGGTGTCCCTCACACGTTCGAGCTACCCGCGATCTTCGGAGCAGGATCGACCGGGACTCTCAGCAGTGACTCGTCGTATCTGAGTTATAATGCAGCTATAATCCCCGTTACGATACATTACTTCATCAGCTTTGTCCAGGCACTGAATCCGAATACATATCGATATGCAGCAGCGCCAGAGTGGAATACGTGGGGGGATGGGCAGCGTCTCCGGCTGCAGACGAATAATACTGCGATGGAGGCTGTGCCGCCGAACTCGGTTCAGGATTGTGCGTTTTGGAAGAGCCTAAGCGTGCCAATGGAGGTATAGTCCTGGGACTTGGGCAAGCTGGGGACAGTGACGGACATGGGCACGAGCCGTAGTGCTGAATAGAGCCTGAGTGATGGCTTGCATGTAGCCTATATACTATAGCACCGATGCAATGAACCACAATGTCATTCGACATCTCTGGACCAGCGGAAGCCACCCGTGTGTCATACGAGTATACCAGCACGCCTTATCAACCATGGCATCTAGCAGTCAGCTGGGCTGATGGGCCAATCAAATCTCACGGTGACTCAGCACCCCCAATCTCCGCAGGAGGATTTGGTTCCCCGCAGAGGTTTTTCCGCGCCGATAGAAATGATAAGGTCTAGAAGTATTTATTTAGTATCCCCCAGTCAAGCCACCTGCTGCTTCTCACACTTGTCAGCCGTGGCCCTGTAGACACCGATTGAAAGTCTGTTACTTGGTTGAAGCGGGTCAACATGGCTGCCAAGGACCTGACGACGAGAGAATGGATCAATGCTCTCATTGAGCCTGGCTATCTTCTAGTCTGGGCCCTGCGCTGTAAGTGTGACACCGCTGGCGATGAATGTTGCTGTCACTCGTGCAAGTATCATCAAGTGAAGCGACGGATATCTAACATACCGAACAGACTATGTCAAGGTCAACCTCGAGACCGTCTTCTGCAAAGGACAAATCCTCGCTCCTCTTCTCCACCAGAGCAGACTGCGTGATGAAGCATTCGGCAAATTCTGGGTAGCTTTTAGCAGTTAGTGCACCACTTTACTCCTCTCCGGGAGGAACCAGACCTCTTAACTCTCCCCAGCATATCTCCAAGCAAACGCCCCAGCGTCACCACCACCCACCCAACCCCCAGACCAAATCATCCGCTCCTCAGACCTAATCCCACCCCTCCTCGCCCGCGCCTCGGGCACCGTCCTCGACGTCGGCCCAGGCACAGGTACTCAAATGCCCCTCCTCCGCTCCTCAGCCATCAAGGCCATCTACGGCGCGGAGCCCTGTCACGGCTTGCACGCTGAACTGCGCGCCAGCGCCACCTCCCAAGGTCTCGAGGATAAATACAACATCCTCCCGTGCGGCGTAGAATCCGCAGACCTTATCCCCGCTCTTCAAAGACAGGGCCTTCTCAAGACGGACGCTTCAGACGTGCCGTCCATCCTCGAAACCCTATCCACGACTAGAGAAGGCGTATTCGACACCATCGTCTGCGTGCGCGTGTTATGTTCAGTCCCCGATATGCACCGCACCGTCCAGGACTTGTACAATCTCCTCCGACCAGGCGGGAAAATGCTCGTTGTCGAGCATGTAGTTAACCCGTGGCGGACGCCGAAGGGGTCCGTGATCGCGAGAGCGTTCCAGGCCTTTTATGGCTTCATGGGCTGGAGTTGGTATTTGGGAAATTGCTGCATGAATCGGGATACCACCTCGGCGTTGAAGCATGCTGCGGATCAGGATGGTGGGTGGGAGTCGGTTGAGTTGGAGAGCTGGTTCGAGAGTACGCCGATGCCGTATGTTGCGGGCATTTTGACGAAGAGGGGGTAATTGATTGATAAGTGGGGGTTGTATAGGGATGTGGCAAGGAGGGCGTTTAGTCGGGGAGTTTGGACATTAACGTTGTGAAGCTGCATTGTTATCTTTCGATTACTTGGATAAATTCGGACTTTGTGGCGTGATGCAAACTGTCCGAACAATATCGGACTCTCCTTATCATTTTATCAGGGCAAGATACCCCGAATCGATTAGAAAACCATCCGACTTGAACCCCCGATATCATAGAAAAGCTCCCGAATTAATTAGAAAAGCTCCCGAGTTAAGCCCCCGGCTTAACCCACGAAGATTGAACCCCCGGATTGAGGGGAAAAGCCTCCGAATTGGGCCACCTTAAGATTGGATTACTAATTATATACAAGAACCTCCCGACTCTACCCCCCGAATTGACCAGAAGAGTTTCCGAAGTAAGGCCCCGAATCAAATACTAGGAAAACCTCACGATTGGATCCTCCGAATTAGATAGAAAAGCCCCCGACTTCAACCCCCCGACTGACTGAACCCCCGAACATTAAATAAGAAAACCACCCGATTTAAACCACCCGAACATTGAAAACTCCGACATGGCGCCCTCGAAGTTGAACCCCTAAGGTAGATAGAAAACTATCTGAATTAAACTCAGTCAACTATAAATCTCCTAATTAAGTAGAAAAACCTCCCGACTCAACCCCCCGGAGATTGAACCTCCGAATCATATTGAAAAGCCACCGACTTGAACCCCCTGATTAAAGAGAAAGCCTCCGACATAACCACCCGGAATTTGAAGCCCCGAATTGACTACGAAACCTCCCGACTTAACCATCCCGAAGATTGAACCCCAAGATAAACGAGAAACCCACCGATTTGAAGGCTTTGATTAGATAGAAAAGCCTCCAAATTCAGCCTCCTCATAACGTTATGTAAACCTTCTGATTAAATAGAGAAACCTCCCGACTTAACAACTCGAAAATCGAATTCCCGAATTAAATAGAATAAGAAAAACATCCCGACTTAAACCCCCCGAAGATTGAACCCCCGAATTGGAAAAAAAAAAAGCCCCCCATTTAAGCCACCTTAGATTTAGATCCCTAATTATATAAAAGAACCTCCCGACTTAATCCCCAAAGATTGAAATCCCGAATTAATTAGAAAAACCTCCCAATTTAACCAACTGAAATTTGAACCCGCGTATTGAATAGAAAAGCCTCCGACAAAACCCCCCAATGACTGAACCTCCGATTTATGTAGAAGACCTCCGGAATTAACCCCCCAATTAAATAAAAAAAGCCTCCGAATCAAGGCCTTGAATTTACTATAAAAGCCTCTTGATTTAAGCCGCCGACTGAACCCCCTAAAATAATTAGAAACCCCTCTGACTTGAACCCCCGAATGAAATAGAGTAACCTTCCGACTTTAACCCCCCGGATATCGATTCGCCGAATGGGTGATATAGAAAAGCGTCCGAATTGAATCCCCTCAATTGGTAATCCCCTGATCGAATAGAAAAGCCACTAACTTAACCCCCCGAAGACTGAATCCCCCAATCGTAGATAGAAAATCCCTCCGAATCAAGCCCCTAATTGGATAGAAAGACCTCCCGACTTAACCTCCCGAAGATTGGACCCCGAATTAAATATAAAAGCCCCCGACTTAAATCCCCTTGATGATAGAACCCTCCGAACGTTGAACCCCCGAAAACCCCCCGACTCGGCTTTCATCGGCGTTTTCACTTGCCGGTGGCTTTCGGCGTTTCGGCGTTTGAGTTGAACCCCCCAGTCCGGGCACAACGCCGAACGCCGAGCAAGGATAGTGGATGCAGAGGAAACGCCGAATGAGGGGTGGGTCGGCGTTTCGGAGTTTCCTTCGCTTTCTATGGACTTGTATTCGATGTGCGATCGGGGGGTTTTCACTTGGGAAACACAAGTTGGATTTGTAATTGGAGGGATTTCTCTTTATTGATGTGATTAATTAATTTTTCGCTACTTAAAGTAACTCCCGGCCGCATCGGCAACCTGCCCGCGCCCCTAGCACACTGCCCTAAAATCATTGTACTACTCATTGCTAATTCACAGCCTTTGATAGAAATAGTGGTTGCTTGTAGAAACGCGTTGGGCGGTGTACTGGATGGCCGATGCGGCCGGGAGTTACGTTAGTGGTTCGGTGGGGTGTTTGGAGTATACCCTTGGACGTGGTAGACTGCTAGGAGTGATTATCTTCGACTGGGGCTCGATGATGGCAGATCAGAAGATTATTGTACTAATTATTAGGAATTAATCTCGTAGATCTTGCTTTGGGGGACGTTAATAATGTCATGGATGAGCGGGATGGCAACGCCGGGTAGAAAGGGACCTTTATGGGTATCGAAGATAACTGAACGAAAATGGATATCACGAAGCATGTAAATATAAGGATGAATATTTGCTTATCTCCTTGTCTTTCAACAATCAGGTTACCTATGAGTAATCTTCTGGCTTCGCTTCTTTTATACCCGCAAAGTTGAGTATTGTGCGCACAAGAGCACATGCATAGCCTATAGCGAACTTGGTGTTCATCGCTCGGGTTTTGAACTGAAATTGGACATGCTCATCTCAGTTTGCAATTGCAGGGCAAGGGATTGGTGCTCGTAGCGTTGGGGGTCAAGTACGCCTTTGGGTTCTGTCATGCCATATCATACATCGTTTGAGGTTCTCTCAGTCCCCGCTGTCTTAATCCTCAAAAATTACCTGATAACCATGATGCTCTTATGGGTTATACTCAAGAAAAAAGGCTATAAATAGGAAATCTATGAATTGTTGTTTCAATGACAGTTTTGGCATTGAGTGACTGATAACATTTATGAACTCCAACCCTTGATAATTAGGACCGTAGTTGGTTCAGTAATAGCCAAATACTTCAAAAATAGAGATATTCCAGAGCATATGTTGAAATTCTGGCAACGCACAAATGAAAATCCACGGTGAGGCACACATCATGTGTTGGGGCCCGACTAAAATTAGCCGGACATGCAAGCTTGACCCGGACAAGCTTTTCGCTAAGTTCTTGGCTAACCAAGGCAGACTGTCTGGCTGGCTGGCACCGTCCAGCTAGTGCCAACCTTGAAGGCAACTGTAAACGCTGAATGGACTGGTCGCTGCTGCGCCACTTTTGAGAGTCTGCTGCTGCCTAGTCCCCTCTTTTCTGCCGAAGACCCCGGATTTTGCCCGGTCGCTCGTGAAGTTTTCGCTGCACCTCATGCGGCATCGGTCCGTGTCGTCGAGAGTGCATCGCAAATATGGCATATGAAGTCTCACGCGATCAACCTGAGGAAGGAGAGCCGTCCTCTTCTCGCGTTCTCGCTAAACACTCTCCTTTGGAGATGGTTCCTGAGGTAGAATCCGATCAGGATGAGAGCAGCTTCGAAGCTCTACCTCTGACCAATTTTGGTACTAAACGTCGGCGACGGCGAACCATCACTCGAGTACATCGCAGCAGGCTGCGCAGTCTATGTAGTTTGTGGAAATGCCGTCATTTATATTGCCATATTCATCCGTACTCCCGAAGAGCCATGCTTTGCAGATTCGTAAAGCGCCCGTTCTGGGGCGCCGTGATCGTGCTGTGAGTGTTGCTTGTCACCTGCATCAATGGTCGCTCGCTAATCCCATCTAGCGGCCTCCTCAAAATCGCCTCTCTCTTTTGGTCTGGCTTAGTATACCTCTTTCCAGACGACCTTGATGCCCGTCTCGACGCCTGGGTCTTCCCTGCCGGTCGCCCATCCATATTCTCGCATTGGACCACCCACGGTGTCGTCCCCGTGCGATGCCACTCACACAATGACTATTGGCGCGACGTACCGCTCCATTCGGCCCTTACCGCGGGCTGCATCGGTGTTGAAGCCGACGTCTGGCCATCCAACAATGACTTGCTCGTTGGACATACCCCCTTCACACTGCACCACGAAGTCACTCTCCGCAGCCTGTACCTCAATCCTCTTCTAGACCTGCTCCAGAAGCACAACACCCGGTCGAGCCAACTCGAGCCCGCGCACCATCCCGGCAGCTTCCGCGCCGGAGTATTCTCCAGCGACCCCTCACAGACTCTTGTCCTGCTCATCGATTTCAAGGAGCAGCCGGAGGCCACCTGGTCCATGGTGATGGAGCAGCTCCAACCCCTCCGTGACGGCGACTACCTCACATATTTCAACGGCACAGACGTCATCACCCGGCCCCTCACAGTCGTCGCTACAGGCGATGCGCCCTTCGATCGCATCACATCGAACCAAACATACCGGGACATCTTCTACGACGCCCCGCTAGACCAGCTCGCCCTCCTCCCACCCAGTACCGAACAATTCGATCATCCAGATCCACAAGCAGATCCTACCTACTCGTACAAGAATAGCTACTATGCCTCTGTCGACTTCCGCAAGACTATCGGCAGTCTATCCCGCAACCGCTTCTCGCAGGGACAGCTGGAGCTGGTCCGGAAACAGGTTGAAGCTGCGCACGCGCGGGGCTTGAAGGTGCGGTACTGGGGAACCCCGAGCTGGCCGCGGGGTTTGCGGAACCATGTTTGGCATGTGTTGGTGCGGGAGGGAGTGGATCTGATCAATGTGGATGATTTGAGGGAGGCCACGAGGCAGGATTGGAGGAAGCATCGGAGTTGGTTTTTTTGATGGCTGTGGATGGAGTAGCATGGTTCTGTATGCAGATATGTTGGTGGAGTTATGGAAATGTGAATGTGAATGTGATTTACTCATTGATATTACTCTTGTCTCATCTGGGTAAATGGTTCAGTACTCAATAATCACGTAGTTTAAAGAATGATGGGAACTTAAACAACCCTAATAAGTCAGTGACATCGCAAACATCTTACGAAATGGGAAAGTCCTACTGGTTGGGAGTCTTCAAGCAATACCAGGCGCGGTAGAAGAACAATTATATTTAAAGCATGAACATGGCTTTCTCTAGGAGTCTGCCATGTAAATATCCATCAGTTTCAACCACTACGTACATACAAGTGGCAACAGGGCATCTTCGGAGGCGGATAAATTCCTGCACAGACCGCATCATAAGTTCCCCTTGTCGCCAGGAGGAAACCAATTTCACCATTACATATAGCCCAATCCTGTCACGGCTGTGACAGAATCCAGTGGTCCATAATTCCTGTATTCCCATCTTCCTAATAAGTTCTGCTTCTTCAATAAACATGGACTACTTTGTAAGTGATCTCGTCAAGCCTCCAATACCATATACGAAGGGGTGGAACTTCAGTGCCCGATTACATGCTACACCAGCGCCCACACCAGTGACCCTAGATGGATGTCGCAACTCCGACGATGGGAGAGAAGAAAGAGCAACACTTCGTCCTGTGGCTCGATGCTGCAAATATCCTCCGCTACCAGGGGATCTTGGGCAACATACTGTCGACCTCGAGGTCTTGGACCCTATAAGAGTCGGTGACGGACATAGTGCACAAGTCTTTAATATCCGCGTCCTGAATCCAGAGTCCAACACCGAGACGTTTCAGGGGACAAGGGACTTAGTTGCTAAGGTGTATGATCCGCTCTACCTCGATGATCACGGCGGTTATCTCAATCCATTTCTTTGCGTGGACAAGCATTACACCCATGAGGCACAAACGTATCGAGTGCTCTCCGATCTCCAAGGGGACCTGATACCCCGCTTTTATGAATCTTATTCTACCGATATCAATTGTCAAGATATCGGTGACGACGCGGAGACAAGTGAAATGTGTTCACGGACTGTCCGTCTGATTTTGATTGAGCATATCCCTGGAAAATCGATGCTACAAGCCGGCCCAAGCAATTTCCCCCAACGGGATCGTCAGCAAATCATGAAATCCGTGATAGAATTTGAGTCCGAGGTCTATAGACGAGATATACTACTTACCGACTTGAGTCCCAGGAATGTCATGATGGTTCCACCGGGCTCGCGCCGGCAATGCAACCTTGTATTTCTGGACTTTGCTGGCGCTCTCTTCCGCCGAAAGCTGGATGAGCCGCTACTTGCCAGTAGAGAGTTTTTCCTCGGGCAGTATATTTCTCCAATTCTGCGATGGAAGAAGGGTATGAAGCTCGAATTTGACGACTGGATTGACTGGGAATGGGCAGACTGGGTCGATGCGGAATTTGCTCATACCGCCCACACTATCACTCCAGCAATGCGTGAGAGATACAGTAAGAAATAGGTGTGCTCACACGGCAAGATGTTCTCAGGACTATTTTCCCTGTGCAAACCAAACGGGCTCTACACACGTCAGTGCATTCGAATCCAGGTACAACTAGTTGAACTGCAATGCCAACTCAGATGACATACCGCTATCGACGGGTATCGGATGGCAGATCCTGGCTGATCTCAGGGTGATACGGCAGGCATAATCACCAGGAAGCCCACGACAAGCACTTGTGTGAATCATTCGAAGTCTATGCGCCTATTGCACAGGCCTAGACTGTATGTTTGAACAATTGATTGATCGAAGATTGTGAACGGCTTACCCTTGCTGTGAGTCATATGTTACTGCGAAATAATGGCGTGAGCTGAAAAATGGGGATACAATGCAATACACCTTCTCGGCGAGCATAACACAATGCCTCTCGGTCTGATCAATCTGCGGATGCATGATAGTCGCTTCGAGCACAACAACAGAAGATATGATCTGTCTTCTCGTTTTCTGGTATGTTTTCTAAAGAGGTCTATTTAGTATGCGGGGGGAGAGCTATGGGCTCAGACGTGCCATTTCCATTTCATGGCGTAATACCACCCCCCCGTTGACGCAGACGAAACAACATCTAACAACTTCTCCACTACTCCAAGGATGCAAGTTTTATAATATAATAGCAACAGGGAAGTCCAGTCTTCAGCCACAATATACAGACACATTCAACCACGTAGTGATTGCTTTGGACGGCCTGCTTCGGATTGCTATTGATACTCTGTAGTGAAACGAGTATTTCCATACTTCCGTTATTTGCCACGTAATAATCCGGCACCGTCATAAATCATGAACTGAGCGATGTGCATAAAGCCACATTCTTATATTTTATTTTGACGTGACTTTGTTTGGTAATGAGTGCTACTACTAATGCAGGGGTTCTGTCCACGGGATGCACCCGATCTGGATACTTAGGTCTTACTACCACTACGTGGGACGATGACAATGACTAGGATCCGATTTGCGGAGGCTTGGCCTGGGGACCCCGCACTGGACCCAGTATGCTTATGCAGGTGCTATGATCTTCTCGAAGTGCAGTCGAAGGCATATGTGGGTCTACTAACTACGACGGCGCTAGAAGTTCCGTGTGTGAAGGGTATGAAAAAATCTGTATTCAAACAGTATGTCCAAGGGTCATCGCTGAAAGTTCGACAAATGCAAAACTATGTACATCAAATGCTTCGTATCACCAAATCATGGCATGTGTTTCTGTGATTTTTTTACAGCTTCTCCTGGGTCTTGCTGGCCTTGTTGAACCGCTCGAAGGAGGAGACCGGGGGAGCGGAGTTGGGGTTGGGGTGGTGCTTCTTCAGAGCCATGGTGACGTTGTACTCCAGGTCGAGCTGGGCCTTGGGGTCATCGGTCTTGGGCTTGAAGTCGACAACCAGATCGTCCTTGACGGCGAAGACGGAATCGATGTCGAGATGAGGGTCGTCGGAGGGGTAGATCTGGTTGATGACGGTGGCGTAGTCGGGGTGGGTGATCATCAGGTGAATGTGGGCAGGACGCATGGGAGAGCGGTCCATGAGGTTGAGGAGAACTCCGGCGGGACCGTCGGTGGGGAGAGAGTAAGGAGTGGGGTGGTAGCAGTACCACCAGAACTCGCCCTTCTCGTTGGAGCGGAACTTGCCGCGAAGGTTGTTCTCGGTCTGGTTGGGGTCCTGGAAGTCGTACTGGCCGTTGGCGGAGGCTTGCCAGATGTCAAGAACGGCACCGACGATGGGAGCACCAGTCTCCATGTCCTTCAGAACACCGTGCATGAAGGTGACCTTTCCGTTGGGGTTGGGGTCCTGAATGATGCTGTCGCCGAGCTCACGGAAGGGAGCGTTGGGAGACCAGAAGGGGCCGAGAATGACGTTGGAGGTGGGGGAAACACCGTCCTCAGTGACGATCTTGTTGGCGATCTCATCGACAAGGCTGTGGGGAGATAACAGTTAGCTTTGAGTCCGGTGCGACCGCTGTTGTTGTGTGGTTGGACTTACGATTCCAGACCGATGACATCGCAGATACGGTGGCACTCGTTACGGATGGGAGTGCTGATCTTTCCGATGGAGTTGATGAACTCGACACCAAGCATCCACTCAGCGGAGGTAAGCTCAACCTCACGAGCGAAGTCGTGGATGTGTCTGATCAGGGCGCCAAGGACCACACGAGCACGCTCGGGGGTCTTGGGTCCCATAGAGTTGACCACATAGGGAGTGAAGTTAGGGTCGAAGCGGCGGTTGGTAGACATGTTGTCTGTGTGTGTATGTGTGGTAAAAAGAGGAGAAAGGTAGAAGGTAAAGGTTGAGAGAGGAGTGAGATGTAGAATGATGGGAGACAAAAACTCAGCGAGGTCTGGAGGGTCTATATACACGATGAATTTGGTCGTGGCAAGTCTGGATAGAACGGCGAGCGACGGCAAATCGATCGGCTACAACTCCGTGTGGGGACAGTGCGACGGTACCAGACACCCAAAGTTACCGTTGCCACATGCCGACGGATCTGATGGGTTGCATGATGCGATGTTTCAGTTTTCGCAGTTCGTAGTGGGAACAGCCGAACGACGGCAGGTTGAATGTGCCTTGCCGAATTAGCAAGATTACCTGCATATCAAAATCGATAATTGATTTTGATATCAAACTGCATTGCTGCGCGGTGATCCCGGGGTTGCTCTTACCCGCGGGTAAGTGCTCCCTGCCTTCCCCAGCTCTCCGCCTTCCTATCCGGACTGACGCCTCCTCGACGAACTGTTTTTCCGCCCTGCCATTCACCTACCGACCAACAGCCTTGTTGGCAATGGGCTGATTATACTTCTGAAGTAGGGGTTCTATGCACAGCATCCTCATCGTGTGGACCAATCAAGATGTTTCAAGTAGTAATCCTACTTTGGGAAGTAGCTGAGCCTTTTGTCAGCTCTTCGATCTCTCCCCAATTCGATTGGCATCTTACATACCATTATAAACAATCACACAAGGTTCCTCCATATCTATCGGAGTTTAGCTCTCATAGTGAATACAGAAGAACCTGTCACGATCAATGTCCTGGCAATCCCTCTATGCTGCTCATAATTCTGCCGGCAAGTCGACGGCTGGCAATCCGGGGGCGGGGGCGGGGTGACTGCCGGGGGGAAAAACAAAAACCTGCGCTCTTCCCCAAAGAGGACAGCGGTGTGTGCGCCTTTACTTTTTGACGGGCTCTAATTGGCGCTGACCCTTTCCGGCCTCGAAGCCGATATGAGACCGGCATCCGGGCAGGACCCCGTTGCCGTTGGGCACGTGCCATCCTTAATCTCGGGATTGACAAGCGGGGCGGCATACCGATGCCCCGGGAAGAATGACCCCAGGTCGACCACGCTGCACTGTAGGGCAGTATCCGGGGTGGTGATTAACCACGGCTACCCCTGGATGTCGTATGATTGTAAGCCGGGGGAGTGGATCTACCCTCTTCCCTCTCAACACGGCATCGCTGCCGACTCTGATTCCCTCTTCCGTCGAGTTGGGTATTGCGGATGAGCTACCGGTAGAATCAACCATCTACTGCCGTGACAGGGCACTTCTTTTACACATCAGACCATATGTGACTATACCAGTATAGTGCCTAGTCAACCTCGAAACAATTCAGTTGTTTTCAACATTCTGGCGCCTTCCAAGCCAAGTTGGACAGCTTTTGTACAGTAGTAGACAGTGTCAGACCTGTTTTCCACGCGAGGGCTCTGGTATAGTTCACGCCAACTGCCAACCCAGCCTTCCACACGTTGAGCTAGCCTGACTCAATCAGTCAAACCTCATTGGCGCGCATTCCGCCTGCGATCTATGCACCAAGTAGCGTAGCCACGTGCGAACCAGCCTTAGTGGTGTGGACCGGAAACTGACCAATACACCAGAAATAGACCCGAATGATAGACTCTTCTCCGCTGGCTAGCCGCAAGAGGCATTTGAGGGACTTCCCATGTCGTCAAAGCTCCAAGACCACAATTGCCATCCGTCCTTGACAAGCGGATCCCGTCAAGGGACAAACAAATCCCCGGGAGTGGGCACCAGGACCGTCCCGATTCCTTCCCCGGATATTCCCAAACCTTCTATACATGGGTACGTCTGCGGCAGGGACCAGGCTAGGTCATAGTTGCAGTAGTTAGCCCACCTAGTAGTCTCTTGGCTGCCTGTTGTCATCGCCTGAGGCACCAACTGGACTTAAAACAGTCTAGACTGGGCTCTGTACGCTGTTCGATTAGTCTTTCCCCGGTATTAGCACGGCCCGTTCCTGGCTAGCTGTCTATTGGTGCAGTCCCTGCATTCGGGGGGTCTAGCATATGGTTCGTCTTGGTTCAACGTTCGTCGGGGAACCGTGTAGTCGTGTACAATTGTTTGGAGCCCATATCAAGGGGCGAACCATTGAGCATGAAGCAAATTTAATTTTTCTGTTGGAATCAACCAGTAGGCTTTTGCCAGTTGGGATCCCCTATAGGTGAGAGTTACTTGTACGGGTCTCGGTTTTTGGAAGCTATACAGATCTGGAGATGTCTCATTGCGGAAGCCCTCATCATGGGGTTTTGCTTGCAATTCTATCAGTCAATGTAAATCAATACTGGTAATTTTGTTTCACTCTCTTGTTGGCTAAATCTGTTCTTAACAATAAATCTTTTGACGAATTTCAAAATACAAATGTCGAAAATCGGTCGTTGTTGGCAATCAGTTTGTCCTGGTGGTTTAGATATATATTTCTATGCCCTATACTTTGGTGCTACCAGAGACGCTGAACACCATGAATTGCGAAAGACCTTTCCAATACGCAAAAATAGCCAACTAAAATACAAAGTCATTCTTTGATCTAATTAATTACTATAGGATAGTATTTTCCATCGAAAGTCTCATGTCTCATAATCAAGCCTGTACTATTAAATTGTGCGACCATTGTTAGGAAAATATATGCCTCAGGCATGAATGCTTTCTGCGCAACCTGGCACCTTAAACCAAGGGCCAATTGCACACGTAAGAATCAATTAGCCGCAACAATGAATAGACTTCCCAATTCTGGCCACACCATCGTCCCATCTACGAATCAGTCCAATTTTGCTGCTGTGCTCCCATGGTCACCTCCTTGCCGATGCATGGTACATTGTTCCTCCGCTCCGGGGAGTCGGTTGGGGTCAGACCCGATCCTGCCCGGGGCGGCAGTTACGCTATCCGGCCACGCCCGGCCACTACAGGCTCGGTAGTTGAAGAATGTCAGCATCCGTGATCCTCCGCCTCTTTGGTTCCTGCCCCGGCTTCACTTGTCTCCGTCCTGAAGATTGGTCCTACCAGCAGCCACGAGCGATTCTATTGGACACCGTCAAGGCACGATGGTCATGTGCATGGTTACATTTACTATCGATTCAGCAAAGCCTAATCCCCCTCGGGGTTGACCGTAACAGTGACTGAGAACTTCTCTGATTCGCACTCCCCTTCCATCTATGACGCTGATCCTGGCCACCTACGGACAGCTTCTCCGCACTGGCTCTCCACTGCCCCAGCACCTCCCCGGATTTCCACTGGCGCATCCATCCATTGCATCTAAGTAATGATATCAATCTCGTCCCAATTTTGAGATTCCATCTCTTCAGCGAGCATCATCACTCAATTAGATCGAAGATCAAGCTCAATTCCCCAGGCCGCCATGTGCGATCCAGATATTACCCGTCGATCCCCCGCTTGGGGAAGACGATCGAACAGCCCCCTGGCTTGGAGATGCTATATTCCTTCTCCTATTTAGCTGCATAGCAAAGACCTCAGTAGTATAAGCCCCTATCTTCCAATTCTTCACCATCTCAATGAAGACAGAATGCCTTCAGACAACCTCTCCATCTTCCCCTCAACATCGATGTCTTCCACCCCCAGCTCCCAGGAGAAACCCCCTACCACCGAACCAACCCTCGTGAGAACAAACACCTCTACAGCAACTCCCAATGACTCCTTCCACTTCGACTTCGGGCCTCTCGCCCACGTCAACACGGCAGGAACCACCTATCCCGCCTTCGCAGGCGAACTTCAACCGGGTCTATGGAAGCCCCAGAAGCGCCGCAAGATGGCCAATCCCGCACCGTTAGGCCTATGCGGGTTTGCGCTCACGACATTCCTCCTGGGCTGCATCAACATGCAGACGTTGGGAATTGCCACTCCCAACATCATCGTCGGTCCTGCGTTTGCATACGGGGGTCTTGTCCAGCTTCTCGCGGGCATGTGGTACGTACATACCTCCAACCCAGAAACTCAATTCTCCCATCCACCCAACCATAACCACTAACCAACAAAACCAGGGAAATGGCCGCCGGCAACACCTTCGGCGCAACCGCGCTCTCCTCCTACGGCGGCTTCTGGATCTCCCTGTCCATAGTCTTCATTCCAGGTGGATTCGACATCCAGGGCGCCTACAAAGCAGCCAATAATGGCAGCTTGTCGATGTTCTATGACGCATTCGGATTATTCCTAATGGTACTGTACTTCCCCCCACCTCCCCACTCCCATACCCCCCACCAAGACTAATTTGGAATGAAATGCATACAGGGCTGGTTCATCTTCACTTTCCTCCTTTGGCTCTGCACGCTCAAATCAACCTACGTCTTCTGCGCCCTCTTCGCAGCCGTTGATATCGCCCTCCTTCTCCTAGCAGTCGGGTATATCCACCGCACAGCGCCGGAGGTGCCCAACGCGAAGATTATAAAGGCGGGTGGGTTGTTTGCGCTGCTGGGTGCGTTTATGGCTTGGTATGTTGCACTTGCGGGTATCGCGGACGATAGTAATAGTTTCTTTCTTGTTCCTGTGTTTCATTTCCCCTGGTCGGAGAAGGGGAGGGAGTCGAGGAGGAAGGAGGAGAGTGAGGGGAGTGTTTGATTTGTTGATTTTGATACCATGATTTTGCTGATGGGTTATGGGTTTTTGCATGTGTGATGTGTTATGAGTAGGGGTTCTTTTGGTCTTGGGATGCTTGCTTTGTGCTTTTGCTTTTGGTGACTACCTTGGATCGGTATTTGGTATGGATGGATGGTGGGATTTAGGCGCTTGGATTAGTACTTGACTTATTTCTTTGGGTTTCTTTTTCTTTTTCTTTTTCCTTTTCCTTTTCCTTTTCTTTTTCTTTTCTTTTCTTTTTTTTTTCTTCTGGATCTAGACTCGCGCCGTACTAGACTAGACGACCCTATGTCTCCTCCAAGCTAGATGATGATAAGAATACCATTAAATCCTGAACCACAATGCCGGACAACCAGTAAATCTGAAGGCCTTTTAGGTACACCCAACATAAGAATCTGCAATCATCCACCATTCGCGTAACAAGACAAGCACACCACACGCCACCCCAACTACCCATACAACAAACCACCAGAGACAGCGGTATAATCACCACATCCGCAAATACGTCCCCACGCGCCTCCACCTCGGCATCCCATAATACACATCCAACCGCCGAATTTCCTCCGCAGTCAACACCGCCCTTCCCGTACCCAAATCAGCAGTGTTTGGATCGCGCCACTCGGTCCGAAAGACAATCTTGTACAGTACCGTGGCAACGATAATCAATATGAGTCCGATGGTGTAAGAGAAGAAGTTGTATGCTGAGAAGGAGTTGTCCATCTATCGTCGATTAGTGAGGGGGTTAGGGGTTAAGCTTAGTGTGTGGTAGAGAGGGGGGATGTCTTACTGGTTCGATTCCCAGGTAGAGAAGACAGACGAGAAGTAGTGTTGATATGATAAGAACTGTGACCGGGGCTAGTGGCCATAGAGGGGAGTGCCATGCGTAGGCTGGAGTTCTTAGCAGCGTGCTATTCTGGGCTTTGATGGCGGCGCGGAAGCGGAACGAAGTGATTGCGATGATGGCCCAGTTGGTGAAGAAGGAGGCGCTGGTTATGGCGATGAGCCAATTGAGGACTTCGAGGCCGCCGGCTATGAGTCTATTCGTTAGTAATGCTGGGGGAGGGGTTGGTTGTGCATGAGTTACAATAGGGGCTTGGGGGACGGGGCGAACCGCTCAAGCTCATGTAGGTTATTGTGACTCCTACAACGGCAGTAATGGCGAGTGCCCATCTTGGACGACCCTCCTCGTCCACTTTGGCAATGAATGGAGGTAGTAGCTTTTGGAGTGCCATGGTGCGGAGGATGCGCGAAGGAAGGAATATTCCTTCTAGAGCAATGGCGAGGATGCCGATGATCAGACACGCGTTGATGAGACTGGGAATACCCTTGATTCCGGCGTCTTCGACGGCAATCACAAAGGGGGACGTGGTCACGCTGGATCCGCCTAGTAGGCGTGAGTCGTCTGAGGGAACAATGATCGACACGAGCACCACGGAAACGAGATAGAAGACCGCTACTCGCCATGGGACTAGGTTGGCTGCGTGTGCCATCGAGTAGCGAGGCGATTCGGCTTCGCCGCCCATGACTCCGATGAAGACCTGGTCACCAGTGCCCCAGATAGCAAGTAATGCGGCGTTGGCAAATCCCTGTATCTATGGCTGAGCTCTGATCGGAACATGATTTGCATGGGGTACTCACACCAAAACCATTCTTGAATGCTGGGAGCTCTGTCCATGTACTTCCATCTCGTACAAACCCTGACGGACCGGCACCGCCGATTATCGCCAGTGAGATGATCGTGATAAAGAGGAATAGCAGCACCTTGACCAAGGAGCCAAAGTATTCAAGCCCGCCGAAATACTTGTTCGGCACCAGGAATACCGCCAAACAGATAACCAGGTATATCGTGACTACATTTGTAAGCAGGTACCGTGCGTTGAGATTGAAGCAGACTCACGCAAAGCTGCTTCAGGTATGGCCCCGTCGGCCCAGAAGTTGACTAAAAGCACGAAGAAGGTCCCTTCGGACGCAAACACCGTCGTCCATCCTAGCAATAGATGAGTTCACATGACCGTTGGAATGTCTGAGCTTGGCCACTCACCTAGCCATTCTGCAACGCCAGCACCAAAAGCCAATGCTGGGTCAACCCATCGATCGGCGTAGTCGATGTAGTTGCCTGAAGTGGGAAACGCAATCGTCATCTCGGACAATGTTTGCAAGTTGGCCCAGACTCCGATGCAGGCGATCAAATAGCCTATGAACATGTTTCCTGGGCCTCCCTCGCCTAGTGCCTTCCCCGTCGCTATGAATAAACCACTTCCGACATTGGAACCCAGAGATATTACCTGTCGTAATCAGTATACTGTGTGGTTTGGGTCGTGAGATGGTGCATACGTGAATCAGACGTGGAGTTAATGTTCGATGCAGTGCCCCTGATCCTTCCACGTCGGAGTCTATCTGGCCTTCGTCCACCGAATGTGTGGGCGTGAGATCCAGTGCTTTCTCACTGCACACTTTCGAGGAGCTATCTGGACCACTGATAACTTTCAATTGGGATTCCATGACAGCAGGATAAGTAGTAATCAAATTCGTGGGCGATTGAGCGATTGCCAAAGCAAGGGAAACAAAATGGTCTTTAGAATAGGGTGTTGCATTTAGGGTATGTGACTATCGGTATATCAACTCGCTCTCACCTTCCCGATCCAAGATCTCCGCACTGATAAGAGGCAAGCAGTGGTTGATCCGACTCGCTCCTGACCTATCAATAATCAGCTAGACGGGGATTCGGACCTCAGTTGGTTGCTGCTAACGCACGGGAACGATTGGCAAGATAAGGGTTTTCGCAGGTGCTCGTTCCGAGTTAACTCAAAACCCCCATTCTTAGCTCATCAGGTCTTCTCGGGATCCCAGTCCACGGAATGTTGTGCATTCCAGGGAGGTCTCGAACGTGCCATACCTCTGGACAATGTCAAGGGCCACGGTAAACATACGGTTCCCGGAGCTCTCCCCAGATCGTTCTAGCCATCTAATGAAGGCTTGCCTGGTCAATGTTTCAAGTGCTTCATACACGGCGACTCCCGATCATCATGTATTTGAAGATCAATTCAGAGCTCTTTGCGTCTGCTTGTTGAACATAGATAAGGGGTCCTCTGCCGAACGTATGGTTGTAAGTTTGGGGATTGATGCCCCTCACGCACCGATGAAAGGTAATTATTAAGGGCTTATGAACTGCCTGGAAAGGTGACATAGAACAGCTCGTTGCCCAGCACGTACTTGTGCCCATACTGAACCCCTTGCCCATCCAGTTCATCCAAGGCGGATTCAAGCGGGTACCGTCTGAGAGTGACAGCTGCTCTAAGGCATTTGGGGCAAGGTGGCGTCTTACCACAATGATCCGTCAGTAACTGTACCTTGAATCAGCTACCACCCCAAGAAAATGGCACAAATTAAAGGCAGCCTGCGTGCATGTAGCTCTTCCTAGGCAGTTTCCTGGATGAGGCCAGTGCAAGGAGGTAACCAAAGCAGGCGCGGTGGGTCCGATATGCGCTCACAGTCGAGCATCCGCTTCACACATCGAACACCGGGACCGGCCTCGGTCGCATTTCACCTTACCGGCTTGACAGTAGAAACAAGCGGCGTGGGATGCCATAATGCAGCGTATCTAGCCTCACAGAGTTGTAAGGAAGCTTGAGCAAGACTATCACGAGAAGTCAGGATGGTTGATACTTGAACCCATGATGATTGGCTGTACATGCGGGGTTTGCCTATGATATGTTATCACCTTGAGACACTTAGGGATCGAACTGCCATTCACGTCGTCACAAGACAACCAGATGCGGAGAAGCGCTGTAGGATGATTGGCGACGGCGGCTCCACCTGCCAAAACAGCCTGGAGATACTCCGCTTCGGGGTCACATACTTGAACCGAGCTGCCACTAGAACAGATAAGAAGCCGTCCTACCGCTCGATATGCAGACTGCCATCGTGTTATACCACCTTGAAAGTCTGCTCTTGCTGTTATGACTGTCAAGCAATCTCCAGTTCAACGCATCGACCGGGCCGACGTGGAGGCCATCATCCAAGCTATCATCAAGGATGGCTGCTGTATCATCAAGGATTTCACCGATGCGGCAACTATAAAGCAGGTCAACGAGGAAGTGCAGCCTTACCTGGATGCCGACAAGCCCTGGAAGGTGGGTGGACAGACCCTTTCGAACCCTTGCACGTCTAACAATATCAGGGTGACCTCTTTCCACCTGAAACACGCCGCTGTGCGAACCTCGCAGGCCGTAGCAAAACTGCCCGGGAGAAATGGCTGGTCGATCCGCTCATTCGTGCTCTGACAGCGAGGTTTGTTGATAAAACAACCTCCAACTTCTATGGAGAAACAAAGCACACATATACCAGCGAGGCGATCTGCTCGATCGCGATGACATTTGACATAGGGCCTGGTGCCAAGGCACAGCGGCTTCATCGTGACGACAAGAACTTTCATGTAGATCATGAAGACCAGAGCACTACGGGCTATCGGGTGGGCTCGGATGTAATGATGGCCTTCATGGTTCCCGGGATCAAGACAACAGTCGAGAATGGTGCCACCATCGCCATCCCCGGTAGTCACCTGTGGGGATCCGACCGGGCACCCAAGATGGACGAGGCCGTCGCGGCGGAGTTGGATGTGACCGACTGCTGGGTGATGCTGGGAGGACTGTACCATGCAGGGGGCGCGAATGTCACACAAAATGAGCGACGGGTAGTACATGGCATGTTTTTCACGCGCGGATTCCATCGACAGGAGGAGAACGTTTATCTTGCCAACACAGCCGAAGAAGTACTGTCCTGGTCTCCGGAGGCTCAGAAAGTGATGGGATACGAGGTATCCAGTCCCAATATTGGGTTTGTGGGCTTCCAGACCCCGCTGCAGTATTTGCGCGGAGAGGAGGTCGGCGACGCATTCGGGGACTTTGATCCTTCCCAGGAGCAGCCTAAATGAGGCCACGGATCCCAACTGCGTCGTGTCGTTTCACCGCAGCCATTATTACAAGCAGTCTTTCCCCGAAGTGAAGTTAGTCTCCGATCCAAACCTAAATGAAGAGATTTGAAATTATCCTCGATCGGCTTTAGGTATAGCGCTTTTCCAACAGGTCGCCGTCACGGAAAGCAACAGCATTCGAAACAGTAGGCAGCGTTGAGCGTTAGTAGACTTGAATCATTCGTCGGGGAATGCAGTCTCAGTTAAATTAGCACAGGCTAGCGAGTAGAGAATCATAGAAGGCGTGAGATCATTCCACGACAGCTGCGTTCCCGACTAGTGTCACAACATACGACACAGCAACTCCTAGTCACGCCTTGCTCTCGCAAAATGTCAGTGAAACCCAAGAACCTCAGGTAACCGGGCACCGGGTAGCTGGTAATACTTGGCTCTGTGATGCCATGTCGACATGTGCGAGGCAACAAACCCCATGAGTCAGGCGGTCGTCATACGTAGCATCAACTCAAGGCATCCTTCCACATGTCATGGGAACATCCTCAATGGCTTTGCCGGTCTCCGGCTCGGTGGATAGGCAACCGCCGCATGACCGACATTCGCACATCGGAACGATCCGTACACATGCGTCCCAACGTGCAACGGGTGAACGGGAAAACTACAGGAGGGCACATGGTATGACTGCTCTGCAGAGACGAGCAGTGGGGAATGCATCCGTTACGCATGAAGATGAGGGGTTGTAGCGTTCATTGGCCTGCTGCGAGTTTTAGGTTACCACGCTAGTCAAGTAGATTGTTCTGGACTCGAGTACTTTCGTGAGAGACGCTTCTACCAGTCCATGGGGGCCTCTTGATCTGACAATCGCAAATTGCAAGGTTCCATGTGTGATATACCTGCAGGTCATTGAAGGAATATTTCAATGTCGCTGTGACTCTTGTCAGTTGCTCCTATTACAGGGACAATGAGGAGGCAACTTTGGAAGAGATGTGGCACGGATTGTTAGTGCAGACACGGAAAGGAAATTGCATGTAACAGCTCCTTCTGTGCTAGCATAATCAGTGGTAGAGCATTGGCCTTCTGTGCCAGGATAGGATGGGTCAGCCATCCGTCTGCCAACATAATGGGTTGACGTTGGCGGTCAGACTTCATGGCACCACTCTGTCCATTGACGGGATTTTGAGGAATGCAGTAGAAGGTCAATCCCGACGAAGGGTGGGGAATGGACCCATCGGACTTTCTTTGATTAAGATGAGCCTGGAGGTCTCCGGTCTCAGCCTCGGGATGGGAGAACAGATTCTCTCCACTGACTAGTCATTATGCCGGTGAAGCTTATTATCGAGTGTGACTGGTCGGGGTCTAAGCCCGGCCTCTCCCAGGCTGGCGGTGTTGTTCTACGGGGGATGGGGCTGACGAATTAGGGAGTGCATGATGATTCTTTTGGGCCGTGCAGAAGTGCGTCGGATGTGGGTAGTACATCCCCTATGCAGGTAGGAGGTTGGCACATCATTCGCATCACCGTGAAGTGCAACATACAAAATCAGTAAACAGTCAACGCGGGACGGAAACCCCGGGACTTACCCTAAAACAGTAGGAACCCCAAGTTGCAGGCGTCTCCACTGTGATGGAGGGAAGAGGCCATTCAGGAGAGAAATTTAGAGAAAACCAGCAGAATGGACAGCCCCTGTTGGTGAGATGTTGGGAGGGGATCCACTTCGTATCGCTGCAGAATGGTGGATCCCCGGCTGAGTCTGAGGGTGTGAGAGAGACACAGACTGACTTCGGAATTGCGAACACCCCGGCTATCTTAGTCTGGATAGGGAATAGTAATTGGGCCCGCCCAAGTATGAAGTAACTTTCAGCTTGGACGGCCGCACGTCAAAGCAGCAAAACTCTAATATCCTTTCAAAGACTCTAGCGACTAGCGAGAGTCTATAGGCGAGAGGTACCACTGTCTGCTGTATGACAGCCAAGGGTCAGTGGAGGGCAAAATTCCCGGGCCCGCACCGTCGCGGGAAAGGCCCAAAGTTGGCTCAAAACCGGATTCCCGTCATGGTGCCTTGGAGTACCTTTGGATGCCTTGCCCACACTGGCCTCGACCTTGAGTTTTTAAGGTTCATCCTCGTTATTGAACAAACTCAACGTAGATTTGTCATGGCGATGCGTGAATCATGCACAAAGTACTTGACCTAAGGGCTTACAGCAGCCGGGCGGCCGATCCGCCCCATCGTCCCCTTCAGCCTGGCCAACCACCAACTTTGGATTCTTGCTCCTCGCGTTGCAGAAAAGGCAGCGACTGTCTATCAGCGGGGTCTATTCTTCAGTTGCGCTCGAATCATTGCCGCTGCCGCCCGTCCAGCCCTGGATGGTTACCAATTGACGCTCCAACTAGAGGGCATAGTTCGCACGGGCCCGGTCCACTAAAGGGGGCCTGTCAAACTCCACTGCAGAATCCGTGACCGGGATTTCTGGCGCGGACCCAAGCCCTCGGGACAACTATGTTGGCTGTCTGTCTGTCTGTCGGTCCCCCTGCTACCCACAAACGCCTATCTAGATATATCTGCACGTCCCGCCAGGATCCCTACCGTTCGGGGATCTCCTCTTTCCTCATGTATCTCCTTTGGCATCATGGGCTTGATCCAAGGCCTGGTGGCCGGCCTCTCATCGGTCGCTGACTCCCCTATTGCCTTGGGTGCTGTCTTGACGGCCACTTTAATTGTCTACTCCGTCGGATTGGGAATCTATCGACTCACCTTCCATCCCTTAGCCAAGTTTCCTGGTCCCAAGCTGGCTGCTTTGACATACTGGTATGAAACCTACTATGAGGTTTTCAAGTCGCCCGGGGGGCAGTTCTTGTTCCAGTACCACAAACTGCACGACAAGTACGGTGAGTCACAAGATCATGTGAAATGCCAGAGCCAGCAAACTCAGCAAGCTGACATGGTCACTACATTCCGTAGGACCCATCATTCGCATCAGCCCGAATGAGATTCACATCAAGGACTCGTCGTTCTTCGAGGAGATGTTCTCCAATTCCCTCCCATGGAATAAGCCAGAACATCTCCAATATCGCTTCGACAATGCCAAGGGTACCTTCTCGACCCCAAAACATGAAGCTCATAAGCCCAGACGTGCTGCGCTCAACCCGTTCTTCTCCAAGCGGGCCATTACCAATGCTACCCCCATGATGCAGGATAAGCTGTACAAGCTCTGCGACCGGCTTCGCCGCGAATACCAAGGCACTGGGAAGGTTCTGCGTCTTGACTGGATGTGGGGGTGTATTGCGTCTGATATCATTGTTCATTACTGCTTCAACGACGGTTATGGCTTCATAAATGCACCGGACTTTCGATCCGTCTTTATTCAAGCCATGTTTGATCTACTCGACATGGTGCATGTTCTAGTTCAGTTTCCTTGGGTGGGTGTTATTATGAATGCACTTCCCCAGAAGTTTGTGGAGACAATGAATCCTGGGCTGAAGTCTATCAACCATTACAATAGGGTATGTCTCTATACATATCACCATGGCCCGGATCACTGCTAACTGTCACAGGAAATGGCATCCCAGATCACGGATATCCTCCGAAGCAAAGAATACGGGACGATGAAAGAATCTCAACGCAAAACCGTCTTCAACGCTCTGCTAGAAGGCGGCTTGCCACCTGAAGAGCTGACCCTGCGACGGCTCCGCGAGGAAGCCTTTACCGTCATCGGAGCAGGCTTCGAAACCACGCGATATGCTCTGGCCGTCGCCAGCTACCACATTCTCAGCACTCCATCAATATACAAGCGTCTGCGTGAAGAGTTGATAACAGCGATCCCCGACCCAACCAACTTTCCTCCTCTGAGCGAGCTAGAAAAGCTCCCCTACCTGACGGGATGTATCCAAGAATGTGCGTATCTTTTCCCTTCTGACTCCCTGCTTACTAGTACCACAACTAACCACAACACCTACAAACCAGGCATCCGCATGTCCTACGGCATCGTGCAACGCTCACCCCGTGTCAGCGACAAGTTCCCCCTCATCTACAAGACCTGGACCATCCCGGCAGGCACCATCATTAGCATGGACAACTACTCAGTCTCGCACGACGAAGCGATCTTTCCTGACTCGTTTACCTTCAAACCCGAACGCTGGCTCGATGACCCTGTCGCGCCAGACGGGCGGAAACTCACACGATACCTCGTCTCGTTTGGTCGTGGCACCCGGTCGTGCCTTGGTATCAACCTCGCCTACGCGGAAATGTACATTTCGCTGGCGAATGTGTATCGGAACTTTGAGTTTGAACTGTTCGAGACGGGACGTGAGTCGGTCGATGTCTATCGGGATATGTTTCTTCCGCATCCGAAGCCGGGGACTCAGGGGGTGAGGGTGAAGGTGTTGTAGGGTAATTGTATAGGAATAGTAATGCAGTGATGGCAGGGGTATAAATATTCTGCAATATACCATCATAAGTGCATGTTTCGCGCAATTTGCTCCTACTACAACTATTTTATCTCTTCGGACTACTATAGTATTCCATTGTACAAGTCGCATGCAGGACGAAGAGATCCGAACATGTCTAGCGCGCACACATCACTAGAAATACAGCATGAGACTATACCAATATAGGGCGAAGAAACATGTCATGCGACCGTGTACTTAGCCTCTATCCCTACCCCATACTCTAATCTATGGATCCCGAAATTCATCAACACCTCAACACCAACCATACACATTTACAACCCAATAAAATGAACAACCACGTCTTCGTACATACTCTGCCCATCTTTCCTACATCATAAATCAAAGTACCTGTATATCCCCGAGAACAGCCGAACACAACTTAACCCACCACACCGATCTGATTACATCATGATGGCCCATCCTGCATACTGCGGAACGCCACAGTCAATATATAACCTTGTTTGCTTTTTCGAGGGCGGGATATAGCGCCGAACCTTACGTTCGCCCAGCCTATGATTAAGTTGTTTCTGGAGTTTCTTTGTCTGATTTCGTACTCTGCAGGTGGGTTATTATTACTGGATTTATGGGAATATTCGGGTCCATTATGCTTTGCGGGTGATAGAAGTTGTTGGGAGGGATTTGTGTGCTGTTGTTGGTGAGAGGGTATAAATCTGTAGGGATGCATGCTATGTACTTTGGTCGTGGTGGTAGGTGTGCTGATAATTAAGGGATATAGTATAATGGTGACATACATGCATCGCTTCCGGTGGCCCGGCATGTGAGTGTGATGACCAACATGATTCCTCTACAGTATAGCTTACGTGGAGTATGAGAAAAGCAATTTGCACATCATAATGTAACTATGCATAACTTGCGAGGATGGGGTGATGTATTCCATGCAATGTTTATGTTTATTTTTGAGCGTATGATCCGCCCTCTTACCCAAATATGATTATTAAATTTATTGAATGTCTCTAAGTCCGTGAATGTAATGACTACAGTATCTACTCGCAGGATTTTATCTTTGACAGATGTAACAGTGAACATGATTGGCCCAGAATCACAAGATATAGAATTACCATATACTCCCCCTGCTATACATTTTCCCAAAATACCCACTTATCAAACACCATGCCGTCGACCCAAAAAGCACAAATGTATCTCAATGCCATGTCCCTACAGCTCGAATATCAACACATTGACCTCCAACCATTACTCCAGACCCCAACACCAAGACCAACACCATCCCATCCCACTAACACGAAAAATTTCCCTAGAGCTCCTCCGGTGGCCTCGTAATCCCCGTCAACTTATCCCTAAACCAAACCAAACCATTAGCCCAATTCTACCCCAACTTCCCCCCAAAAGCAAAACAAAAGAAATAAAGAAGCCAACATACCCATTAACCTTCTTCATCAACGCCCCAAACCCCTGATGATCATAATCCTTCTCACTCCACATATCCTTATGATAAACGACCCTCTCCCCATCCTCCCCATCCTGCAACCTCAAACTCACCAAACTATCCTCCGTCCGGGACGCTCCAATCCCGCGGAATGTATACCTCTGTCTCTGCTTCCAGACCATCTCATCGTCCGTATTCGACACCACCTCCGTCCCTAGATTCTCACTCTTGCTGAATAGCTTCGGGATGCCGTACCATTGGCCGGCGATTTTGTACCTAAGTACCGGATCCCCCTAGTTGTCAGTATAGGGCTTTAAGGGGATAGGTGATGGGGGGTGGGCTACTACCGCGTATCACAGTAACTGAATGGATCGTCGTAGACGGCTTGCTCTGCGTAGACGCTCATGTCTTCGGCGGAGGCACTGCCGCAATATAGGGCTATGATGTGGTCTTGGATGGATTGCCGGGATGGGGGCAGGGGCACGGAGTTCTCTGGGTGGGGGGTGTAGTCGACTTCGTGGGCCGTGTTGTGAGGGAGGTCGGGGTGCGGTTCGATGCCGCGTTGATCGGGGTGAGGGGCGGTGGTGGGGGGCATTTTGGTAGTGATTTTCTACTGGGTATAAGTATGGGATCTGGGAATGGGTATAGGAGATGTGGACGAGGAGGTTAGTGTGATTATGTGGAATTGCGATGGAGAATATACTGGGAGACGATAGTAGGGTTGGATGTGACGTCATCAAGGTGTCAGGGAGGTGCTCAAAGTCAATTCGATATTAAGTTTGGCACGTCCAGTTGCTTTAAAACCATTGCTTGGAATCGATCAACTCAGTCTATATAACTAGTAAGGAAGTGCGTAGGCTGCGTTGGTCGTCGCCTGCGCGCTCGTAGCCCGAACAAAATATCAGATAGCCTCCCAACAAAATATCAAATCGCCGCCCAAAAAACATCAAATAACCGCCGAAAGAAACATCAGATAGCCTCCGAACAAAATATCAAATAGCCTCCCAATATGTGGAAACTGGGCATTGCCGGTGCAATAACCTGCATATTATGAAGAACTCTCCTGCGCCGTCATACGGGCCGCGACGCTTCCTGCCGCCCGAGGGTACTGGGTAACGACTCCGATGGCACCGTAATCTCCATTCAACTCGGGCGACCCCCAACCTCCTCCTCCAGGGGTATGTATGACGCAGCGATCGCCTGCCGCCATTTTCACCATGTTCTTCGCTCCCATATTCACCCATCGGAATACCTCCTTTTCTCCTATCTTCTCTTTCCGAACCCAATAGTTTGCTCCACACCGTCCGGGATCACCTCCGCTCATTCCATAAGGCGCAACGCTACGGCGCTCCGTGATGACACTGAAACTCAGAGGAGCACGGCACTCGATGTCTCGCACCACACCATCACCGCCCTTGTACATCCCCTTCCCTCCCGTGCCCGGACGAATGGCGAATTCCCGCAGAATTACCGGGTAGCGCTTCTCCAAACTCTCCGGATCGGTGATCCTGGTGTTGGTCATATGTGTATGCACACCAGATGCCCCAGACCGAGAAGATGTTGCTCCTGAGCCGCCACAAATAGTCTCGCCAAACGCGTAAGCATATCCACTGAGTTTGTTGCCCTCAGCGTCTTTGCCACCCTCACCAAAGAACCCAATACAGTTCATGCAGCCGTGGGAGGCAGCAGCGGCTCGGAATGCTTTGAGGATGACATCCACGATTCGCTGCGATGTCTGGGTGTTCCCAGCGCAGACAGCAGGGCCTGCAGATGGGTTCAGGAAGGTGCCCTTGGGCAGGATAACGTTGATCGGTGCAAGACAGCCTTGGTTCAAGGGAATATCGTCGCCAATCAGGAGGCGTAGGGTGTATATAATGGCCGAATGGGTGATGGCTGGAGGCGCATTGATATTGCTGAGCAGCTCGCAGCCAGTTCCGGTGAAGTCAAACACAGCGGAACCATCACGGAAAAGATCAATAGTGAGCTTAATAAGTGAGCCATTGTCCATTCGGTCTTCCGCGACCAGGCGCGATCCCATCCGGACTAGAGTTTCTCGAAGGTGATGCCGGACGGCCCGTTCAGCGTTTAGCTGGATAGCCTTCATGTACAGCTGCACTACGGGCAGAGTGTACTCCTCGATCAAGCCTTGCACCAACGTCATGCCCTTGTGATTTGCCGCTACCTGCGCCTTAAGGTCGGAAATATTGTCCGACACATGTCGGCTCCCTGTACATCCCGGATAATCGCCAGGACGAAGAAGAATCTCGATGATACCACGCTCGTCAAATTTTTCTTTATGAATAAGCTTGAATGATCTGATCGCAGCACCCTCCTGCCATAGCTCAGTGGAATTCGGAGGCATGGATGTACCTCCCAACCCTCCAATATCGGTGTGGTGGCCGCGAGAGGCAACGTAGAACGCGACCTGCTTTCCAGTCTTCTCAAAGACTGGAGTTATCACAGTGATATCTGGCAAGTGTGTACCGCCTGCTTCAGGGTGGTTGGCCACCAGAACATCACCAGGTATAAGCTTTCCCTTGTGAAGATCGTGCTGGTACTTGACTGCGTAGCTCATGGAGCCAAGATGCACTGGAACATGAGGTGCGTTCGCGACCAGTCCACCTGCGCACAGTTAGTTCCATTCTCGGGACTTCATAGTGTAGGACCATACCGTCCGGCCCGAACAATGCACATGAAAAATCCAAGCGCTCCTTAATGTTCAATGACACGGCTGTCTTCTGTAAAGCACGACCCATCTGTTCAGCGATACTCATGAAGCGATGAGCAAAAACTGAGAGTTGAATGCTATCCACAGATGTTGAATCCCGTATGATCCGGGCAGATGATGCGTCTTTGATCTCGATAACCACGTGGTTACTCAAGATTTTAGCTTCTGACCCGGGAGCAACCACCAAAGTTTGCGTCTGGTCGATGATAACGGCCGGTCCGGCAATAAGTGTAAGCGGGGGCAATTTATTCAGGAGAAACACAGGCGCAGGGCATGACCCGTATCCTGGGAAATAGACCCTTGTCTGTGACTGATTAGTGTTCCGTAGCGATCAAGCAGTGAAAGCTAGAAGCCATACCGTTTGTTCAGCAGTATCCAGGGATAGGACACTGAAAGACGCATTTTGCAATTCTTGACCGAGTTTTTGCCCATCAGCCCTCTCCAAGCCGCCGCAAGACCCAACACCTCGGACACGTACGTCGTCCACGATGATAGTCCTTTCATCGGGAAACAAGAAGGCGAACTCCCGCAGATGCATCCTCTTGAACTCCTCCTTAAAATCCCCATCTGCTGGCTCCAGGACCATGATGGCCGTCTCCGTTCCTTGATATCTCATATTGAGATACTTCTGGTATGATATGTCGCCATCTGTTGTACCCTGGTCGTTTAGCTGGCGGCGCACCTTATCTTGGAGCAGCGATAGCCGGTTCAAAAGTCTGCCGCGCGATTCATCCCCATAGATTTCATTTACCGGCTCTTGGGCCTCCTGCACCAAGTCCGCGAGCGCCATTCCTGATTCATCATATTTAGCTTGTTGATCCATATGTGGGGTGTCCCTACATACCATATGCGGAAAGAATACTCGAGTACTTGTGAATAATGACCGTAGATATGCCTAGTTTGCGAGCGACGTCACAAGCATGTTGCCCACCAGCACCACCGAAAACACTTAGGTTATGGTTTGCTGGGTACACCCTTAGCCTTGCACGGATAGATACTTAGAATAGACTTACTAATGTCATATCCCTTGCCCTCCGTCAAAGCTCGGATTGGTCGACACATAGCTTCATTGGCAACATCAAGAAACCCGCAAGCTACCTCTTCCGGACTCATTGAGTTTCCTGTATCGGAGTTGATAGTGGCTGTCAACTCTTCAAACAAGTCCTTCACTCTTCTTGAATCCAGAGGCTGATTTTCGTTTTCGCCAAAGATCCTGGGGAAGTAATCAGGGAGCAACCGTCCGAGGAAGAGGTTTGCATCAGTCACTGTGAGAGGCCCGCCTTTTCGATAGCATGCCGGTCCAGGATGTGAGGAAGCACTCTCTGGGCCTACCGCGAAAAGGCCATTCTTCCAGGTCAAAATCGAACCACCGCCCGCGGCGACTGTATTGATGTCCAACTGTGGGCTCTGAATTGTCACTCCGGCAGTAGTACTTTCAAATATATGCTCATGGCATCCTCCGTACCGTGACACATCGGTGGACGTGCCACCCATATCGAAGCCGACTACCGGAATTTTGGATGCTTCGTCGTATGTGGTTTGGGCATAACCCACCACACCCCCTAGCTGATCAGCATCGATGATAGTCAATCGGATGGAAAGTAGCCCTCACCTGCAGGCCCACTCAGAATGCCTCTGAGACCACTGAAGTGGTTGTGGCTAACGAGGCCTCCATCCGACTGCATAAATTCGCACCTCACACCGTCCAAGTTTCCACCTTCAAAGCCCTTGGTAAATCCGGTGAGATAGCGCTTTATCTCGGGGGTCAGATATGCATCCGCCGACGCCGAGCTGCCACGCGGTACCATCTTGATCATGTTAGCGGCAACGGCAGAGGACAAGGATACGTGTTTAAATCCCTCTTCCATGGCCAGCTGATAAACGCGGATCTCATGTTCCGGAAATATGTGGGAGTGAGTCAAGCACACAGCCAGTGTGTCCACCCCCTTACCACGGAGCTTTTGGAGTACCTCCCGGACTTGTTCCTCGTCAATTGGCTTCAGGATGCGAACCATGTCACCACTTGTGCCACGAACCAGGACACCGGGAATTTCTTCGGTGGATTTGAAGAGTCCATCTACATCTTCGTCGAATCCCTCAATGGTCACTCTCGCATCGATCTCATGGACCTCGTCATACAAGACAGCTGGTTTGACGATGTTGAGCTCAAAGAGCCGAGGACGCGACTGGTAGCCAATGTTCAACAAGTCACGAAATCCCTTTGTTACTAGGAATGCGTGCCGGGTGCCTTTTCGCTCAAGTAACGCGTTGGTCGCCACTGTTGTCCCCATACGGATAAACTCGAGGTCTGTCTTGGGGAGAGGGCTGCCGCGAGGGATCTCGTGGCCATAGTAGTGGGAGAGCACACGTCTTATGCCTGGAGCCATGAGCTTCCTTGCCACATCATCATCCATCATCTAGGGAAAGAGGGAATTACCTTCAGTGGGTGCATCTTCGTAATTGGCTGGATCGACGGAAAGTAGTTTGTGCACTATGTCTGGCTGGCCGGGCAGACTGGCCCAAACGTCCGTGAAGGTACCACCACGGTCTAGGAGCGACGAAGCTCACAATCAGCAACTTGCATGTATCAGGGAGTTCAGGGAGAATAACCGATTGCGATCTTGATCTTGCCCATAGCTGGCTGCATTATGAAACGAGGTGTTGATGTGATTCACCAACCATCCACCCCCTCTCCCCGGCGCCGTAAGCCATGGCCTTTTATAACCCCAATGAACGACGAGCGCTTGACCATTGTGATAACGGCAGGGCGTGCAGTTTCTGTAAAGTGGTATATGGATACGACGGTGTTGCGGGAACCTCACCCCGACAGTCCATTCTCGTAGTGTTTTCGCGACCGGCGCGTTGTGGGGAGGATTGAGAAGGCAAGTCGATACGCGATCTCGGAGGGAGAGATTCCCGATGGCAGCTCCCGTGCATCCCAGCTGTCGGACCCCAATTAGGATTAGGGAGAGGGGTAGGGCCCCAGGCAGCGGCGCTAAGGCACACTTCTCTCTTCGGCTCTCTCTATCATTCGTTGGGGGCGCCACCTCCCTCCTCCACCCGTCGTATCGACCACCTTTTTCTTCCATCCTAGTATACCACAGAGCACCAGTCGTCGTGCCCCCTCCTCACCGGGTGTATCCTTCCCCGTCGTTTGATCTGCGCTACTTGGGAGCTTATCTCTAGTTTTGCAAGGTATGGCTGCAGCAGGTTCTGCAGTCGGTCCGTTCGGCAGCAATCTCCAATCTATCATTCGCTCGCCTCCACCTACCACGTCGCGCCCGGCTATACTTCGACACACTAAGCACATTGCGCACTTCATGATGTTCTTTGTTCGCCCCAAAAGTCGTCATGCTACCAGTGCTAGCACTGTTAGTAGCAGTACTAGTATGCCGCTACGGCTACTAGTATATATTAACACACCCCCCTGTCAAGTTCTGCACATCTTGCGGCAGGATATTGCGCTGTCCATCACACTAGCCCTCATTTTGCTCGTGCGACACTATCACCATGATACAACCAGAGGAGGCAGCGGCGCGGAGGCCGTCGACTCCAGATGAACTTGTGAAGATGGGTACTATCAGCAAGGAGATGGATGGAGCTGCCAACTACCTTGCTCAAACCGCAAGCTATCCACCCATGACACCAGAAGTTGAGAAGAAGCTGCTGCGCAAGATTGACTGGATTTTGGTTCCTATGGTAGGTTGAGTCAATGAGGATCAGCTTGCCACCGTGCTAACATCCCGCCAAGCTACTGTTGACGGCCACCCTGGGTGCAGTTGATAAGGTCGCTCTCAGTACAGCTGCAATCTACGGATTGAAAGAAGGTAATGGTAGCCAGCGGTGTTAGAAACGGGTCTGACGACATTCCAGATCTTCACCTAGTTGGTCAAGACTATTCCTGGGCTGGATCTATCTTATCTATTGGAGTATGGGCTCCTTATTTCCCCCCATCTGCCAGAAATTAACCGTGAATACCTAGTCCATCGTCGGCATGTGGCCCTCTTCCTTTTTGGTGCAGCGACTACCCTCGGCTAAATATCTCTCCTCGTGCTCTCTCGGTTGGTCGTGCATGGCGCTTCTGATCCCTGCATGCAAGAATTGGAGCGGGTTGATGGCCATACGGTTCTTCATGGGTAAACCTCCGTCTCGGTACTAGTTGCAGACTGGCGATCACTTCGCTCGGTCGCCGCCAGAACTTTTATTCTGATGATATGTGAACAGGTTGCCTAGAAGCTATCATCGTCCCGTCAATCAGCTTAATTGTTGCGGGCTTTTACAAGAAATCAGAGCAGCCCCCACGGAATGCGATCGTGTTTGCTGCTTTCAGTTCTGTGATAAACGGTTTCCTGTCTTGGCTGGTAGGACATGTTCCCGACTCTGCACCTCTGGCCATCTGGCAGTATCTATACCTGATCGTTGGTAAGTCGCTCATGTTACTGGGTGTTAGCATATGCTAAGGTCGCCAGGATCCATATCCGCATTGTGGTCTATCATTGCAATTATCTTCCTGCCGGACTCCCCAATGAATGCTTTTTTCCTGACAGACCAGGAGAAGTATTATACCGTTCAACGTCTCGCTGAAAACCGGACTGGAATCATCAACAAGGAATGGAAATGGAACCAGGCCCTCGAAGCAGGCATAGATCCCAAGACTTGGATTCTCTTTTTCTTTAACATTGCCATAAACATTCCAAACGGAGGTAAGTTGTGCCCTCCACCAGCCTCTGATTATCACTGACGGTTTAGGTCTCACCACGTTCAGCGGTATTATCATCGACAATCTGGGATTTTCTGCAGTCAACACCTCCCTCCTCAACATGCCTACTGGAATCATGTCGACTCTAGCTGCGTTCGGCTTCTCTTGGCTGGCCGCACGCTGGACGGGTCGTCGATGCCTTGTCACCATGATCGCATGCTGTTTGCCCATCATTGGCTCGGCATTGGTGTATTCCCTTCCTCGAACCAACATCGGCGGCCAGATGGTCGGAATCTATCTAGTAAGGCCGACGGAAGCTTGACTTATCACCGTATGCTTACGACCTTTCTATAGTTGTACACATACTTTGGCCCCTATGTCGTGGGTAGGTAATCCCAAGCCTTTTGGTATTGGCATAGCTAATAATACAGGTATTTCGATGGCGCAAGCCAATACTGCAGGACACACAAAAAAGACGGTACAATATTCAATTTTGTATATTGGATATGCCGTAGGTGAGTCACATTCCTAGAGTTCCAAAATAACCTGTCGCCCTTGTTATGCTTTGGACCAACTAATTCATTTCTAAGGAAACCTTATCGGCCCTCAGACCTTCCGTGCTAACCAGGCGCCTGCCTATACGGGCGGTTTCATTGCGATGTTGGCCTGTTACTGTATCTGCGTTGTATTGATGGCAGTGTATTGGATTCTGGTTGTGAAACTCAACGATCGACTTCTTGGCGTCGATCCTGAGACTCGAGCGGCGGACGATGACAATCTGGCCGGGGCCTTTGCCGATCACACTGACTTTGAGCAAAAGAACTTTAGATATACCACATGAAGATCTGTCTTTCATTGCGTGTCAGCACGGTCGGGAGTTTCTAATTTATCATGATCTAAAATGGCATAGGGTATTTTATTTCTGGGGTGTTAATTTGGGACTACTCTTTTGTTGATACCGAATGCACATACCATGGGACATTTCCCACATGAATTTGTTGGCTGTCCTCCATTTAACCTAGATCCCGGTCACGCTATCACCCGCCTATAGATAGCTGGTGGCAGGGATGTTGTGTGGGCGCGTCAATCCTGTAGGGAATCGGACTAAATTGGTCTGATAATATAAGCGCCGGTCATTTCCCCGCTTCTCCAGCACCAGATCCCCCTTTCGCCGATTTCCCTCCTGAGACACTGGGGGCAAACCCGCCAAGGCCACACGACTCATGTTTTGAATCCCGTCTCACTCTCAATCCCCACACCCAATATCATCCAGGATGCCTACTAAGCGTGCTCAGGGTGAAATTCGCCGAAGGTCTGGGTGTTTACAATGTAAAGGTACGGCTGGAATCAGCACATACTGAATAGGGCTGCACTGACATAGTTGATGAAGCCAAGCATGTTCGCTGTACCGAAGAGCTGCCGATATGTCGCCGATGTGAACGACTGGGTCTGCACTGCGAACGTGGATTACAGCTCTTATTTCAGGAAGATGCGGTTCAGCGAGGAATTAGTTTTGGTCGGAAAGGTGCGTTTAGCTTGTTTCGAGGCGCTAGCGGTCTCTTCCTCATGACTAACAAGCTACACACCCGGTATAGGCACCCGGTCGAAACAACCGGACAGTGCTAAAGATCGTACGGTACTCAAGTACAACGACGTGTTCTATGGCGTTCCCTTGAACGCGTACACGGGACGGTGGATATTTCTCAACTCCACCAGCAGCGACTTTATGGATAGCGGTAGCGATAGTGATGAGATGGACACAGATGGCATAGAACCAGACCTGTTATCTGTGTTTGTACAGTTTCCAGATACTATACCACTGGATAAAGGCCTGGGCCATCCACTCGCTACATACTCGCATCTCGAGAGCTATCTCATCGACTACTTCATACACGGTATTGGGCCAAATTGCTCGCTCAGCCCGATCGAGAATCCCTATATCACACTTATCACACCTCTGGCACTCTCTCATAAGACCCTCCGCGATGCTCTGATATCGGCGGCGGGAAACCAGCTTCGCCTGCTTGGGGACACTCGCTTCTCAAAAGAAGCGCTGATCTACAAAGAAAGAGCGTTAAAGGGGCTGCAGCAGGAAATCGAGCTGGGATGTATAAGTGATGGTGCGATAGCCACAGTTCTGATGTTATGCTTTCACGATGTGCGTTGCATGCCGATTCTTCGTTACCTTCGGGATCCTGACACTACTGCAGATTTCCGACGAATGCGCCCCATCATGGGTAACGCATCTCCAGGGAGGCCTTGATCTCCTTTATCGGTTTCCTTGTACACCCACCGCGAACTACTCATTGCGTCGATTTTTTAACATGTATTTCGTCGCTCATGCGATTATGAGTCGTACAGCAACGCCACAAGTCTGTCACGCAAATGGTATGTTTAGTTGGGCGGATAACGACAACCTTGACGAGGTTAGTGGTGCTTGGTCCTCTTCCCTTCATGTACTGACTAGATTGGTAGATTGACACGATTATGGGCTGTTCACGGCGACTAATGCTATTAATCAATGAGATATCTGAACTGCCTGTTGACACCTGCACGGTAAGACATCTGCGTATCATCTCGACATAATCACATCTAACATGTAAACGTTCGAATAAAATAGACACCCTCATCGACAGCCTCATCAGAAGATGAATCCGTGGACTTCCACCTCTCAGAAGCAGCTCGTATCGCCACTGCCCTGACCAATATCCAGCAGTTCCTCCCACAACACTCCAGCGATCGGAATGATCTCGCTCGAATAGCCGAGGCCAAGCGGTTAGCCGCTATAATCTACCTCTTCAACCGAATAGATGGCACTGCGTATTACACAGACGTCGTGAACGAAACGAAAGCAGACAAGAACACGTTTATAAACGCCTTGATAAATGTCATGATCCACCTCCCCGACATGGCAACGCTTCTATGGCCATTATACATCCTGGGACACGCTTCGCTGGAAGATGAAGACCATCGACGTTTCGTCCTGGATCGACTAGAGCGGATGCAACGCACTCGGAATCTGGGCAGTGTCCGACGGGCTAGAATGGCTGTCAAGTATGCTTTCAGGGTTGTGGATGTGCGTTCAACTGCGATGATGAGGGCTAGCAAGTTCGGATACATCAGTTTAGCTTGAGCGTTTTAGCGTCGAGATGGATACACCATGGGTTTAGCGGCGTTCAAGGTACCTAGTCTTTATTCATGCTTCTATTCCAGTTTCATACCGTAGCCTTACTCCATCACCACTTCCCTCACCTACAGAATCCTACCTAAGCAACATACACGACCTTCAACACCCAGCAAAACTCCTCCCCATTCCACGCTCCCTCAGGCACCGTGAACGTAAACCCCTCCGCCGCACTCCCCTCCCACTCAACCTCCCTCTCCCCAGCCCCATCACCACGCACCACCACAACCCTATCCCCCTCCAACAACGGCACCGGCGCATCCACAAACACCTTGTTCCCGGGCTCCCCAAGAAACAACAAATAAAACGCCTCATTCGTCTGCGTAAACCTCACCTCCACCTCCACCTGCCCCCCATCACCACTCCCAACCCTCACACCCACCCCCTCACTCCTCACCCACCAAACCCTCGTCCCAAACACCGCCTCCCCATGTCCCCGAATCCACTCCCCAGCCCTCCTCAACTCGCTCTCCTCCCTCTCAACAATACTCCCATCCGCACGCGGCCCAACATCCAACAAAAAGTTCCCATTCTTACTCACCATATCCACCAAATCCCTCACCACCGTACTCGCATTCATATACCCCTGCCACCCGGTCGCCCGATTAAACCCATAACTATACGGATCCATGCCCATATTACTCTCCCACTTGCGCAACTGCGCCGAACTAAACGTCGCATATTCAGGCGTATCGAAGTCCGAGACCTCCGCAACCCCGCACCGCGAATTAATCGTCACTTGGCGGTTATCTGCACGAGCGGAATTGAACCATTCGCTCGCGAATGACGCGGTGCCGTTCGCGGCTCCGCAGTCACACCACATTATGTCGGTGCTGTAGTTGTGTGCGAGGATGGTCATTTGGGGCACCATTACGTCGGTGATGAAGTCGGTGACCGGGATGCGGCCCGTGTAGGGCTCGTTGAGCCCCGTGTAGGGGTTGCGCGCGATGATGCCCGGCCAGCTCGTTGAGGTGTTGCCGGGTAGTTCGGCGAACCCGTAGGGCCCGAAGTCTGGATTGAACCATTCGGGGAGGGAGAAGTAGGTGCCGCGTTTTAGGGACGGGTGGTGGAGGGAGGATGCGGTGAAGAGTTCCGAGACGAGGTCTCGGCGGGGGCCGTAGTGGAGGGAGGAGCGGTTTGTGGTGTTTTGGGTGTCGAAGAGGGCGAAGCCGTCGTGGTGTTTTGTTGTTAGTACGAAGTACTTCGCGCCGGAGGCCGCGATTAGGTCCACCCAGGCGTTGGGGGAGAAATTGGAGGCCGTGAAGGAGGGGAACGAGTCGTCGTAGTTCCAGTCAGGGCCGAAGGTGCGGAGTCGGTAGTCGTAGGTGTCGGATTTGTCGGCGGCGCGGTGCGTGGTGTACCACCTGATAGTTGACTAAGTTAGATGGGTGTGGAAGCAGGGGATTGGGATATGGGGAGGTGAGGACAGTACCAGAACCACTCGGCGTAGCTTTCATAGGGTGTCGAGTTGCCCCAGCCGGGGACGGAGTATGGACCCCAGTGGATCATGATGCCGAATTTGGCGTCGTCGAACCATTCGGGGTTTTCGTGTTGCGAGAGGCTGGATAGCTCGGAGGTCCATTCTGTTAGGCCGAGGGAGAGGGTGTGAGGATAGGTTTGATGCTGGATGGTGTGGGTGTAGTTCAGGACGACGGTTGCTGTTCCGTTGGCTGTACCATTGATGCCAATGTTGACGCGTTTTTGGTCGCCGGGGCAGAGTCGCTTGATGTTTCCGGGCTCCAGTGTTTGGACTCCGGGCATGGATAATGATATATTGACTCCTGTGCCTGCGATGCAGCTGGTGCCTGGGTTGTTGATGGTCACTTCGACTATCTGGTTGCCGCTTTCTGTCCACTTTTGGGTCGGACGCACGAATTGCACTTGCGCTGATGGGGCTGTGGATTCCCATAGAGATATGGAGAATATGTGCAGTCTGCCTGTGGTTGTGTTGGTGGTGACTGGAAGGGTGATTGAATGTAGAGTCTTGTTGGGATTCAGTGCGGCAGTGTATTCGAAGATGTGGGAGGTGTTGAAGTTGGTGTCGTTGTGGGTATACCTGTAGGGGAAGATGATCTCGCCACGGTTGATTGTTAGGAATGCCCACCAAGGTAGACTGCGCAGTTCTGATACAAGTGTCGAGTTGTCTGAATATGTGTATGTCACATTCCCGGAGACGGTGGACAATTGGACATCGGAGGTCACCAGCATTGACGCTGAGAAGTACTTTTCGCGAGGCACGATGATTGTCTGGCCTTCACAGACGACATTGTCAGGGAGGACGGGCCCGCGATAGCCCGGGAAATTGTAGACCACACCAGTGTGCGTGGATGTGTAGGTTCCGTTGATGCCAATAATGCTAGGGTCTGGATAGGACTGATTCAATGCATCAAAGGACGTCTGACCGGGATATACGCCGAATGCCTTGTTGTTGAAGTATGAATCGAGGGAGACGGATTTTGACTGTACCGTCAGTTCAAGTTCGATTCAAATGAGAAACACTAACCTGCGATGCTGCTGCAGCAGTGACAGCTAACTGCCATGCGAGAGCTATCCGGTTGGCGACCTTCATGATGCAAACATTCCCTAGTACGGGCGTAAAGTCTACACTCTGCCAATGAAGCGGGGAAGCGGCGCAGAAGTAGTCATGCCAACTTCATATCTCCCCACCGGAAAATGCCACAGTGACATTCTGCCTGCACGTTGAAGCAAATCCAGCAAGTGGCCGACTGTCATTGGAACACGCCGATCATGTAGATTAAACGGCCGGCGTGCGGGGAGATATCAATTGCGGCAAAGATACGCGGTGATAAGTGCTAATCTTCTCATATCCTGGTCGGCCCAGCCGGGCACTAAACCATCGCAGCGCCACTGTTACATCGGCTGATGTCCGAGTGGCGGTCTGCAGTATGCCAACTGATAAGAAGCAACGACTCCCAGGATGTTCCTGCATGATGCACCGACGCAATGTGGTCGACTGTGTTTTCCGTGGCAGCTGGGCTGGCCAGTCTGCCATTGACTCATGCCTTTAACAATCCTCCAGGTGTGGACATCTGGTGCGGCAAGGCTTATCGAGCAAGGTATGCCATAGCAAACAATCGATATGACCTAACTAACTCTGATAGCAATGCTTCATTCAACCCTGGTGGATGGTTTGAGCAGCCCTCGTACTCCTCTACTCCCCTGCTCGACCTCAAGGTCCGGCCGCGAATGAGCATCTATCTCGAGACAGATGCAAAGGGTAGCCTTCTCGTTGACACCACCGTCTCTCACATCGTCGGTGATTCTCTACCAGTTCAGGGCCGGACAAACTACACATACCAGCACCTCCATCTAGACATCCACATCCTCAGCGACGAGACCCAAATTGCATCTATCTCCAACCATTCCCTGCCACTCGACACCACCAAAGCCGAAATCCCCCTCTCCTTCGACTTCCTCACCCCAAAACTAACCCCCTACACCATCACCACCACCGCCACCCTCATCAACAGTATCACCAACACCACCTTCACCACCACCTCCGAGCTCTTCTACCTCCCCCAACGCACCGACGGCGGCAGCGCCACCCGCATCGACCACCGCACGGGCATACTCTCCTACATCCAGGACCAATCCGTAACCTGGACCCCAATCTTCCCCTACACCTACTACGGTACCTCCCCCAATCCCCTACACAGCTCCTTACACCCAATCTAACCCCAAACCAGCCCAATGGTCCCTCTACTGGGACACCAACACCAGCACCCTAGAAACATTCACCTCCCAAGGCTACAACGTAATCCACATCGTCCCCACAGGCACCCTCAGCGACACGCCGTTCCCCTGGTCCACCATCGACCCCTACCTCACCACCTCCGACAAACAAAACCTCCACCTCCAATATGACGTCCTCTTCGACCCTACAAACCTCACCAAACTCACCGACCAAGTCACACACATCCACACCCACCCCTCCCTGCTCCTATACTACACAGCCGACGAACCAGACGGAAAAGGCAACCCCCTGAACTCGACCCGTCTGGCGTACGACCTCATCCGCTCCATGGACCCGTACCATCCGGTGTCTCTAGCTCTGAACTGTAAGGACTTCTATTATGAGGAGTATGCCTCCGGGGCGGATATTATCCTGTCGGATGTGTATCCCGTCGCGACGAATACTTCCTGGTCGACTGTGTATGACACGCCGTGTAATGCTACGTATGGGTGTTGTGGGTGTGATGATTGCAGGGGTGAGTTCGAGGATGTAAGTGATAGGTTGGATCAGTTCTATGAATTTGACGCGGTTGTTGGTTGGGAGAAGGTGCATTGGGGCGCGCCGCAGGCGTTCGGGGAGGAGACGTTTTGGACGAGGTATCCTACGGCTGAGGAGGAGGTGGTTATGGTTATGTTGAGTGTCAATCATGGCGCGATGGGCATTGTTATGTGGGATTATCCGAGTAGTGATGGGATTGAGAGGGTTACGCGGGAACTGGCGCCTGTGGTCACTGGGGAGGTGTTTGTGGGGTTTTTGGAGGAGGGGGCTAGAAGGGTGGGGGTGGTGAAGGGGGCAGGGAGGGTGGATGTTGCGTGGTGGGTGGTGGAAGGGGAGGGAAGGGCGTTGGTGAGTGTGGTTAATTTGAATTATCGGGGGACTGGGGAGGTCAGGGTGGGTTTGGGGGGTGTGAGGGTGGCTGGGGTAGAGAAGGTGCTTTGGGGTGGGCAGGGATGGGATGTCAAGGATGGGGAGTTGGTTAGGGAGGGGTTGGGAGGGTTGGAGGCGGGTATTTTAGTGGTGGATTTGGTGTAGTCACTAATAAAGATTTATATTGTAAATATGATCATCATATATCACATTACTACATTACTTTCTCGTCGTGATATTTATATGAGTAGGTAACATGGGGCTACAATGCAAGAAGCAATCCCACGCCCGCAAGTCCTGAAAGCAGCTTCATCGGGTTGCTTGTAGCCTGCGCTGCAGCACCCTCCGAGGAAGTGCTCGTAGCTTCGGCCGATGAGCCGCCGCTCGAAGCAGTACCCGTCGCCCCGGTTTCTGTGGCCGTAGCAGTAATGGTGACACCCGACAGTGTGGGCACTGCAGTGCCAGTCGAGATCAATCCATTTCCAGTAGCGGAAGAGACAGCAGAAGGAACCGGTGTCGCTCCCGGCACAGCCGACGTTCCCGTTCCGATCTCAAGGATATCATCATCACCCGGGTTAAAGTTCGTGTTGGCGAGGGAGATCTCATTGTTCTCGAGATCGTATACAACGTATGCGCTGCGCAGGAATGTATCGCCGAGCAGATTCACACCCGGCTGGCTCGGCACGAGGCCCAACACACAGGTGTTGTCGGGCCACCCCGGCTCCGTTGCGGGGATGATCAGCTCGCTCATACTGACGGTGACCGTTGCACCAGAGAAACTATAGGTCACGTTGTAGTCAGACTCTCGGGCGTCGCAATCGATGTAGGCCATATCGTATGTCTTGTCGTAGGTTGCGTTGAGCGCATCATAGACCTTGTTGACGAGATCGCTGGGCAGCGCCGTCAAGGTGGTGCCAGTATCGAGGGACACGGAGAGGGGAAGACTGTCAGTAAAGCTACTGGAGTTGGAGTCGGTCGCAACGCTGAGCTCCGTAAGGGCGATGGCGAGGGAGTAGTATTTGCCATAGACAGGAATAATCGGAAGGGTTTGGAGATCGCCCTTGTATTTCGCTGTATTTACACCTCCAAAAAGGAGCGAACCGGTCGAAGCCTCCAAACTATCTAGCCAGATGCTGTACGCAGCAGACTTGATGGCACCGCTGTCGACGAGGGCCTGAGGGAGGTTGGCATAGACCTTGTCGTCGTGCTCGGCCTGGTAGGTCGAAATTTTGTAACCGACACCGGCGATCCCGCCTATAGTACACCGAGTCAGCGACGATCATCATGGAGAAGACGGCTCACCCACGTTTACTAGTCGTAGATTCGGCGATCCCAAACTGCATGTCATCGATTGTCGTGTTGCCGATCGTTAGCTTATCAGTCACATAAGGTCCGTAAAGATTTGTGCCGTCCGCATATGTATCGTTGAGGTGTGTGCCGACGGTTTTCACGGTGGACGATTCGCTGGCATTGTACAAGCCATAAGGGGTGCATAGATTGTCGATGGAGCAGTAGGTCGAGTTGCCGGTGTTCACCCAGAGGTCGCTACTGCCAGTGTCCAGAGCCAATGACACCTTTTGTGCGGGTGTTCCTAACGTCAGGTTCACTGCGTAGTAAGTCGCATCCTAGCGATTGTATTGTCAGCATGATTTCTCCTTCACGGCCTTATAGCTAACATACCCAGTTCTGCAAAGTCACGGCGACCGTAGAATCTCTTTTCTGCAAGGACTGGTCGCTCCTGCGCTCAATGGGCATTCGAACGACAGCAGGCTCATCGCGTTTATGGAGAGACAGACCATAAGCAAACGGAATGCCCGCCGCAAGAGGAATTAGTACCGCACCTCTCATCTTGACTGACCGAGCGTCTGCTCTCCTGTTCACAGACACGTTTTCACGTAACTTGCAAAAAAGCACAGGTCCAAGCCGGATATGCCGCAGCCCAGGGAGATTAAATCGGCCCCCAAGAGGCAAGGCCGCAATTCCTTTCTGCCTGCTTTCATGTCAGCTTCAACGGCGAGGCTAAGGCAATAGTGTGAGCATGGTGCTCACACTTTGCACTGGTATAGCCAGTCATCATCAACAAAGTGACTCAGCCCCAAATTTGGTCAAAGCAACGGCTGCGTAGAGCCTTTCGCAACGAACGCTGGATCCAAAGGGTCTGACTTCTACACAGTACAAGCGAGCCATCGTCACCTTGGACGGCTAGTTCCGCTTAGCTCCGACCAATTCTCCGAATTCGGTCGAGCAGCCGGATGTTCGGCGGTTCATGGCCGTCGGGCCTCCTTCCTGATTTGAGCAATCTAATCCGTCTCCATCGCAATCTAAGACATAACGGCGATGCACCTTCATTGGGCTGTTGCGAACGGGTTTTGCGGCCATTCGCTTGGCGGTGGGCCAACTCCGTAGCCGCTTTCCTATCACGAAAATCGCTCATGCTGACTGCAGGAAGCGGGAATCAGGCTTTCCATCTGTCGGAAAATTCTTGATCCAGCTGCGCTAGAGAATCCAGGTCGCTAGAGCGCCTGTGCGGGCAGACTAACTTCGTGCAATCCCGAATATGTCTCATTGCCATGTGCAGGGTGTACGAGCAACTCAGGGGTAGTAAATCGGCGTGAGAATTTTGGCAGGCAATTTGCGCCTTGTGGTGGCGCGCGACATCCACCACTACATTAGATACCATCTCTAGGGCCGCTTTTGAGTGTCGCAGCCCTTGCAAGTCAACGGTGTCGAAAGGGCAGCTCAGGACTTCCTGGTGTAATAGGCAGAGGGCTCTAGCCGATTCAGTTAGCTGCAGCCGAGTGGCGTGGTTCCTTAGACTAGTACTCATGGGCCTTGAGTCACAATACATGGGTATTACGGTTGACATACCTCACAGCAGATGCTATAGGACTGCAATCATGGCCAATTTCTGCGGTACCCGTGTTCATCCGTTCAGAAAGGAAGCTTTGCAGCTGCTTGTCGAGTTGTTGAATCTCTACCATTCTACCACTATTAGTTTGGGGGTGCCTTCGCACAGCCAACACGCGGTCGAGAAGGAGCACAGCTCGTGCTTGATGGCCAAAAACGCAGGGTTTCCTGTCCTGGTTCAAAGGCAGACAGTCATGTGGGCAGCTTCCTACTGAACGAGTAGTGGATTGGACAGGCTGTAGGTCACTTGGTAGAGGGAACTCAGAAGTCGGACAATCTGTCGTAGGCCGTTGTGTCTTGTCATTGATTTCGCATAAAATAAGCCTAGGCTGGGTGAGCCTGTGTTTCGAAGACCTTGTAGTTGACCTACCTCTCGAGAATGATTACACCCCACCACAGATTCAGACGCTCCAGGCTTTCAGATGAGATAATACTAGCTTCATTTGTCTGCCAGGAGCTGGAATCTGCTAGCCCAGTCACGAAAGCACTTTTAGCTACACTCCCCATCGTAATGTGCGCTGCCTCAGGCCGACCGTTGGCATACTCATACGCAGCGATGAGCAGTCCAGCCTGAATGAGATATGTCGAGGCACACATTATAGATTGGGCTTCGGCAAACAGCATCTTCATAGTGGAATATAGACTATGCGGTGTTATGTGTGTATTGAATTTTGACGGCTGCAGCGTCACCAGGCACATACCCAGCACAAGGACAGAAAAGTCCACCGGTGGTGAGCGAGACGGGCTATTGTACCGAGCCAAGCTTTCTTCAAACACTTCATACGATACTATTGGAAGCCAGATGTGAAAGTTGCTGAAATACCGGCGACTGATCTCCTGCAGTGAGAGGTCCGCCAATTGAATGATGCGGCATACGTGGTACCATGTCCTCCTGGGTGCCGTTGACATGTTTTCCGACGGCGGGCCAAACAGGGAAACCATCTGTAACAATATCGCATTTATTTCTATCTGAGTAATCGCATCCGCAACGGGTTCTTCAGCGACGGGAGATCCCTGGTATCGACATGGCAGGTTCCGTTTGGCGCAGTAACCGCAGGTTGGGAGTTGCTTGTCGCATCCCTTCTTCCTTGATTTGCAGGTCAAGCACACATGCGACGCCCGCTCTATCACCGGTACCTTCATTCTTCCTGTTTTCCCCACTTTAGGTTTTCCGATCGGCCAGTCGCAACAAGGGAGCGTGTATCTATTGGTGTTGGTCGGCCTATTATTGAACTGTTAGTCTCGGACAAAAGGTGTTGAAGGGAACACAGAAAGAGCAAATATTAGCAAGGGGTCAAATCATTTTAACTCACTGGGACTGTCGGCCGCCGCTAGGCCATTGTGGCCGATCGTGGCGTGGATGATGAGGGTGTCTTATAGATGGATCGACAACTTGCCATGCCAGGGACACATCACGTGATGGACCAGCTGGCTGATGGGACTGTCGGCCGCCACTAGTCCCGTTCTGGACAACTGGTTATCCCCAAAGCAGCGCTGTCATTGGCTGATCGGCCAGCTGGAATGCCATTACGACTTCGGTGGGAACACAACAGCTGCATGGATGAGTGTTGCTTCCGTCACCTCTCGCCAATATGCTGAGATCTTCATTTATAATAAATGCCCTTGCGTTTTGTCGCGGATCTTCGCAATGCAATTACACTCAGCTGGAGCTCCCTGTCTTTGGGCAGTCGTCGTCGTTTGTTCTTCCCGTTCTGCCACAACATATACATCGTTCTATAGTCCGGTTCAATAGCTTATCATGGCACGCATCAATGATGTGAATCAGATGGAAAAGCAACTACCACAGTCGGAAAGTAAGCCAGGACAGCAAAATGATATGCACACCCGAGCCAACAACCGAGAAACGCCCCTGTTAGATCCTGATTTCACTATCTCATTCGGAAAGGATGATCCTGACGACCCACGCAACTTTGGCAACTGGCACAAGGTCTATATTACCTGCCAGCTGAGCATGCTCACCTTTGTTGCGGCATTGGGCTCATCTATCTTGTCTCCGGGACAATCAGATGTAGCGGAGTATACCAACATTAGCTCCGAGGTTGCAGTGCTCGCGACTTCGATGTATATCCTTGGTTTGCCTATACGCCACTCAAATTCAGTTTCAATCGCTTACTCCTGTAGGCTGGGCGGTCGGTCCAACGTTATGGGGCCCAATAAGCGAGGTTTATGGCCGCAAATGGGGAATGCTTCCAGCTCTCTTTTGCTTAGGCTTGTTCAGTATCGGAACGGCTGTAAGCCAGAACGCCGCCAGCATCTTCATTACCAGGTTCATTGGTGGGATCTTTGGCTCTGCGCCGATTAGCAATGCCAATGCAGCGTTAAGCGACATTTACGCACCGAAAGAGCGAGGCATAGCAGTGGCATTCATGATGCTGTGTATCACAGGAGGGCCATCTGTTGGACCTCTTATTGGCTCTGCAGTGGTTTCAAACTCGAAGCTTGGGTGGCGTTGTAAGCATTGGCACAACTACCCTCAACTGTCCAAGCTGATAAATCTAGGGACCATGTATATTGAAGCCATCTGTTGTTTTGCCTTATTTGCCCTTGCTACCTTGACTCTGTCAGAAACATATTCTCCTGTCTTGTTGAAAGACAAGGCCCAGAAATTGCGTAAGAAGACGGGAGAGAACAGGTACTGGCATCCTCACGAGCATGAGAGCATCAACCTCGAAAATGCAGTTACGAAACATTTCCTTCGTCCGTTACGGTGTGTCGTCGCGCGTCGCTCTTGTCGTGAACTATTTCTGACTTTCCCCAGCATGTTGACAACCGAGAGCATCATGGCCTGCGTCGCAGCATACGCATCTTTCTCGTATAGTTTGATCTATCTCTGTCTCCAGGTATACCCCATTGTATTTGAAGAGGAACGTGGATACAGTCCAGTGATTGCTTCCCTGCCATTCCTCGGGATCCTTGTTGGCACAGCTTGTGCTGTCGGAATCACCTTTGCATATCGAACACGGTATGCCAAAGCGGTCATGGAAAACGGTGGAAAGGCCGTTCCTGAAGCACGACTTCCTCCGCTGGTACTCGGGGTGATCTTTCTGCCAACGGGACTATTCTGGCTTGGATGGACTGCAGCACCAAAGTTTTCGTGGGTACTGCCCACAGTTGGAGGAGGTATGCCATAGGATTCTCCCAGGATTTCAGAAGACTGACTGACATCTATGCAGTATTCGTCGGCGCCGGACACAACATTATCTTCCAGCAATGTATTAACTATTTGATCGACACGTATGGGCCGTATGCCGCGAGTGCAATTTCAGCAAACACAATGCTGAGATCCTTGTTGGCCGCGGGGCTGCCATTGGCGGCGAAACCAATGTTCCACAATTTGGGCGTGGGACCTGCTGCTAGTTTAATGGGAGGCATCGCTTGTCTTGCATTGCCGATACCGTTCGTTTTCATGAAATATGGACGCACCCTGCGCGCCAAGTCAAAGTTCGCACCAGCTAGTTCGGACTAGTTCTTTTACAGTCTGTCACTGGCGAAGATAACAGTATCCCCACATCCCCGCGTCGGTGATGATGTGACGTCCGACGACCGACTGAATAGACGCCATCGATATACCACAGCTAGGAACTCATCACTTAGTGTCATGATATTAGATTATGCTTACTCACAAATGTAACATAGCTTTACAATATCAGTCATGTATAATTTGTCAGTCTAGCCGATCGCTCTATATGATATACTGTAGTTAAGAAGAATATCCCGAGCCCTTTCGGTCATAATCAACGAAAGCAGCATATCCTTGCGAGACCCCGCATAGCTCGGCTTTAAGACGGGTCGTGGATTTGGCCCCAGACAGACTTTTTATAATAGAGAGGGACAAACAGTACAATGCTGGGATTTACAGAGCCGTCAAGCACAACTTCTGCTAATATTGTATACCTATATGGGCGTCACTGATGCTGACTATACGCTAAAATGAGGATAGGCAAATGGGTTTTTACTACAGTAAGGACCCAAGGATGTGCAGAATGACAGCAGTGCCAGAACGGCCCAATTGCCGAGGACATGACCTGCAATATTGGCCGTCCGTGCTCATCGTACCCCGGCTACTGCATCTCGTTTCGGCACAATGCCTGCACAATAAACAAACATATTCGGGCCTCAACTCACTGCGTTCTGTGGAGAAGGGACTTGATGTGGGGATTATGCGGGGTATGGGGTCTGAAGAAAGCAGATATTCGTGGGGTTGTAGATACAACTAATACGCCCGCGGTCGACATATAAAGCTCTCAGTCCATAACCCTTACTCTCAAACAAATTACTAGTAAGGATAGCAGCGGCCACACTGGCCCAGCCACATCATGCTTCTCATTCTCTCCCTCCTCGTCGCAGTAGCGGCATCTTCTCCTATCCACAATGCCTCCACCTCCCCAATTGTCCACACCAACTATGGTGACATTCTGGGCACAACATCCCCCTACCGTCCCAACATCAAAGTCTTTAAAGGCATTCCCTACGCTGCACCTCCCATCGGCGAGCTCCGCTGGAAGCCCCCAGTCAAGCCCGAGCCATGGAGCGGTACCTATAACGCAACAGAGTTTAGCGCCCAATGCCCCCAGGCCCTAAACATGGGCACCAGTCTCTGGACAACCGGCTCAACCGATCAAAGCGAAGACTGTCTCTACATGAACATCTGGACCCCTACCACCACACCTTCCACCCCACTCCCTGTCTACATCTGGGCCTACGGCGGCCGCTTCGTTGATGGCTCCGGCGACGTCGTAACCTACGACGGCAGCGGCCTCGCCTCGCAGGATATCATAACCATCACCTTCAACTTCCGCCTCGGCCCTCTCGGCTTCCTCGCCCACCCTCTCCTCTCCGCCGAATCCCCTCACAACAGCTCCGGCAACTACGGCATCCTCGACATCATCGCCGCTCTGGAATGGGTGCAAGCCAACATTGCCTCGTTCGGCGGCGATCCCGCCCGCGTCACCGTCGGCGGCCAATCCTCAGGCTCCTCGTGCTCTCTTGACATGATGTACTCCCCTCTCGCCGACGGCCTAGCATCAGGAATCATCGCCGAAAGCGGTGCGCGATCTCCTCGAGACCCCTTAACGGGCAGCCTGGCAACAAGCTACCGTCAGAAAGACGAAGCCGAATCCTCTGGTCTCTCCGTGATGACCTCCCTCAACGCAACAACCCTCTCCGAAATGCGTGCTCTTTCCGTCTCAACCCTCCTAACAACTGACCTCCTCAACGCCACCATCTTCGACAACACCAACTACCAAAACGTCAGCACCTTCATGGAAGCTCCAGAGTGGCGCCCTGTCCTAGACGGCTACGTCCTCCCACACACCTACGCCTCCACACTCTCAAACAACACCCATCCCAACATCCCCATCCTAACCGGCAACAACAAAGACGAATCGGGAGCAGCCACCGACCCAGGATTCACACTCTCCACCTTCCGCTCCAACTTCTCCACCATGTTTGCCCCTTTCCCCCATCTCGCTGAAGAGTTCTTCTCCCTCTACCCTGCCAACGACACAGAATCAACTACCCCAGCCAATAACGCCTTCTGGGCAGATCTCGGCAGAGTAAGTACCTGGTCTTGGGCCCTAGATTGGTACGCCGGTGGGGCTACAGCTCCCGTGTACACGTATTTCTGGGACCATGCACCCCCGGGACAAAGTCTGGGTGCGTTTCACGGAAGCGAGATGTACTATGTCTTTGGTAACCTGCCGTATAACTATCCGGATATGCCGTGGACGGAGCGGGACTTTGAAATTGAGAGGGTGATGGTGGCGTATTGGTCGAATTTCATCAAGTACGGGGATCCGAATGGGAAGGGGTTGGTGAGATGGGAGCCTAGTGGGGAGGAGAAGGAGACGATGTATTTGGGGGATGAATTTGGAAAGGGTAGGTTGACGAATGGGGAGGAGAGGAGGCAGTTGATGTTGCAGTGGTTGGTGGAGTCGGAGGTTTGGTGAACATGGTGCAGAAGATAGAGTTGGTTGCATGGAGAATGGGAAAGAAGTCTGGGAGAAGGGGTAAATGGAGGAACTCTACAGTAGTTGTAAATACAGCAAGCACTTCTCTGGAGGTCCTGTGCCTCATAAGCAGTAACGGAGTGTTCGTTATATCGCAAAAGATACTCAGAAAATATTTTGTCTGTCATTCGTCCGCGAGCATGGAGGGCGTCGTGATATCCAAACTATTGTTTTCCTGAACAAAGTAGAAATATCTACCATGTAAATGCCTCCTCGAAGTACCGTATTCCCTGACACCCCCTTCTCATAGCCTCGTACACCGCGAACCGACACTCATCCGCCATCATTCCAGGTCCAGAGCAAAGCACCGCCAGCCTTGTACGGGACTCGCGAGTCATTTCAGCCTCTGTCTCAACAGCTCCACGAATATCAGGGCGGCCGTCGTAGTAGCACATATTAGACCCTGCTGCATTAGTTTCAGGCCCAACAGCGACCTCTTTATCGCTCTCAATTAGCGACACTGGAGCACTTTCAGTACAGAAAAAGCTGACTTGAACACCCTCACACTCTAACAAGTGACTCAGCTCTTCTGTGAGTACAGTGGAGAACATACTCTTCCGACGAGTGGACCATAATAGATGTATACTGGTCGTCTTCGTAGTTTGTTTTCTCAACCGGGCGGCATAGTCGAGTATATATGGCAGCGTAGCTGCGATGCCTGTCCCCCCGGCAATTAACAACACCGTGTCGAAGGTATGCAGCGGTGCCGTGTGGCCATAGGGTCCTTCTAGGAGGAGTGGATGTATTCTATTATTTGCTCTGATGCAGCGATCACGAAGCGATTTTGTCCAACCGTTGTAAGGACGGACGTAGAAGGTCAATTTGCTTTTCTCCTTCGGTGAATGGGACGGGGCTTCGGAATATGCACCCAGTGCGAAAGGGTGGTTTTCGAAACAATGCACGCTCAGTGGCTGGGAGAGGAAGTAGCGTTGTCCTGCCTTGGGTGTGACATGGGAGGGCGCCTCTATATCTATCGTCATTAGGTCACTGTCGGGAGCGTATGTAACCGTTGATGTTGGCAGGGAGATTTTGCTTTTGCTGAATTTTATGTGGAGGTTGCAGTATGCGAGGCGAAGTATGCGGAGGATGCGATCGAAGGTCCATATAGCTACTACAGTCCAGAGGTATTGGTTCCACTGTGGCCCGTCGGGGCGGGTATGTCTGATGGGTTAGTAGGGGTGTGAGGAATGGGTGGCGTAGACCTACTGAAATAGAGCATAGATTATAACGATGGCTAGTACGATGTGGGAGATGAAGAATACCTCGTACCACTTGCGGCGAAGCCATGTAATAGAGTGGATTAACAAAACCGACATGGCAACAACCGCCTAGAGATGTTAGTATAAGTCGGCAGAGGATGCAAACAGACTCACTATTACGCCCATGTACCACGGCTTATGGCTCCACGCTTCGTGATATGCATCCTCTGAGTTGTTAGTGGTGCAATTGAAGTGAGGACGAAAGGCTTACCGTAATCTGCTAAAATTATGCTGTACCCCATCGAGTGGACAATGGCAAGGAGTGTGCACGCCCATGCAATATGCCGATGAAATGTGTTGAAAGATTGAACGTCGAAGTCGGTCACCCAGAGGAAAATGTTGTTGCGTCCGCTAAAGAGCCATAAGAACGGTAGACAAGCATAGGCAAGAATACCGGTCCGATCGGACGAATAATGCCAGTTGCGCTGGGGCATGGTCGACGTCCTACTGCTGTTAACTGTGAACATAGGAAGATGTGAAATGCTTACCTAGTGTCTCCATCATAGTTGACACAAGCTAAGAGGACACAGAGGAGCCAGAAGCCGAAAACGATTATTAAATCAAGTCGCTTGGGAATGCAATGTCCGTAAAGAAGTCGCAGGTGATGAGGCAGTTTTGGAACTAAGGCTGCTGGAACAACAATATGGGTACGCAGAGCATGGATAGTTGACGATAAGTGATGAGAGATTTGCTTGTGTTCGATAGGTCCAGAGACTGCATTGGCTTCAGTATCCCTGCGTGGGTCCATAGTCCGCCTAATCCTCCAAAAGCTGAGGATTCTCTGCACCATTCCGAGACCCAGGATAGCTGCCCAGTAACCCATTAAGCCCCAGCCAAACCGGATATCCCGGTCCAAGGCTTTTTCATGAATGATCTGTCGCAGACATTAGGCGCCTCTACGTTTGATGAGGATAAGATGTACATACACATGTTTTGTACGCCCGCTTATAATATGACTCACTCAACAGGACAGGTGATTTGATGGTGCCAGTAGAGGCAGTCGTATTGACATCCGGATCAAGTATTGGCATTGAGTCGTACGATCTCGATCCATTAGGTTCAATAGATGAAAGATCGACGTCGCACAATTCCTGCCAGAACGAAATGGTAGCCGCTGGACTATTTCCATCACATCTCGCCCTTGCACTCGCATACATGGAAGCAACTTCCACCGTCCTGTTGCATATACCCTCAAAGTTTGTTGTTGTCTCTATATAGCTTTCCTCAGCAAAGAAGGTTGTCACTGATATTGAATGATTGCAAATGCCTCCGGCAGGACCACTAGCAAATGTGTATCGTGATAGAGCGGTGTATATCGGACAAAGACAGTCCGCATCGAGGCTACTGATGACATCAAGAGAGCGTTTCTGCTCCGCCAGGGCAGGGACAAAGATAGCCAAGAAGGAAGTTCGTAGAAGCATTTCGCTTGTTAATATTGGTTGTGTAGCTGACAACAGCCTGTTGCGCCACCCGGCAAATTATAGGTGCAACTCCCGGATAAAAACATTTTGACTTTCATCAAGGTCCTTCATATGCAGCACTGCCCGCACTCTAGTCAGCTATATTAATATCATGCCGTTGCCTGGAACAGCGTGTGTATGCATCGACCCAACGTGCGGAAGCGGGGCATAGGCCTGGAAACGGTGATTATGGAGATCTCGCAGATGACCACGGAAGGAGGCCCGTAACAAGGTGTTCAGGCGGTCTTTGGTCCGCATGAGGGGGAGGGGCACCATGAGGGGATGAATGGGGATAGAAAGATACTGTGGCTGTTGCAAGGCACACTCACAACGTAGGCAGTGGAAGGCACCACGATATTCACATTGCTTGCTTCTTATGCTAACCACTAAATCCCAGCCCTGACAATTGACGCTGTAGTCAAAAGATAAAAATGGAATCGGAAAAAGCAAACAAAAGTTTGAAATGTTCACGGATCTGCAAGTGGTAGGCAGCACAAAAACAAGCCTTCCGTCGATTCTTGGCTGTTCTGCACGATGGCTATGGACGGGACAGGATGCATGAAGTAATGAGACTAATTCAAAATATCCCTAAGCGGCCCGTCCATTTGGGTCGGTCTGACACGTGTAGAAAGACGACACGATCGGGGGTTTTCTTCACACGTCTCCAATTAGGGACCTTGGAGGTTTCATTTTCTATCGCGGTCCATAAAGTTGTCTTAGCGACATATGCCATAGATACATCAGAGGTAAGATCATTGTAAAGAGCAAATTTCGTCTTGCTAGGGATACGAACTTGTCTGAAATAGTGATCCCTATGGTGACCAGTCTACACCATGCTTTCATCTCCAGCCCTAAGTGCCGAAGTTCCAATCTACACATCCGCCCAGTATAAGTTTTGTTATTCTCATAGAGAGGCATCATCACTGCATCGAATCGTCAGACACACTTCCCCGCAAATGCTTCTCCTCATCCCAGTTAAGATATATACCTCTCCAATCTTTTTGCCGGAGGCTCTCCCTCTCCAGCAAGGTATCCCAATGATGCCACATCCGACTGAACCGCAACCCCGCATTCCACCTGCAAGCCATCCCGTCCACCCTTTCATGACTGGCTGCGTCATTTCAATTTAATCATCGGACTAGGAAATTTGCATGTATGACATCGTTGCATTAACATTATGCTTGGTGGGAATTCCTATAACCGAGGTGCCGGTATTTCCTCCGAAAGTATACAATAGTCTACTTACGGGGCCAGGAAAGGAGAGTAGACTATCTGGGAATGTCTAACAAAGATAGATAAAACGAGAATAGGCAGAAGGACTGGGATACGCGACTGACAAAGAGTCCAAACATGGATATCTGCAGAGAATGTATGATATAATGCTAGAATTCCAAGATCTGTGGAGGGGTTTCCGGATATCGGGCTTATCAACAGAAAGATCGTGACTAGATAGTGCGGTAAAAAGTATTCGTTTCTACATGAACACGCAGATTAGGTGATATGAGCAAGTTTAAGGGTGAATCCCATCTCGGTCACCGGTCATTGGCTGTATCTCTAAAGTCATGACTACTATCAAGCAAGTTAGGGAGGAAATATCAACCCTACCAATGAATATATAAAAACCACCATCCTCCGGCTATATCTATCCTACATCTCCTGACTCTCTACTTGATATCTCAAATAGGCAAGTATATAGCAACCTTAGATAAACTCGTATTACATATATAATACGAGTTATATCAAGAATAAAAGTTGAATTATATAATCCTCACATTATCTCCATCATCATGGTTAACTTTGAAGGAAACACCCTAGAACAATTTCCTTGGCAGTCTTAGCATCCCCAGCCATACCATACAATTCGCAGCCTTTCGCAGCGACCGATAGCTTCCAGCTGCCAAGACGCGTGTGTGGTGGCGAGCAATGATGGGCCAATGGATATTGCCCGCGAGAATATGATAACGAGGACGAGGTACTATTTACAGTCTCAGGAGTAATATCGTGCATCATTCCGTATATAACTGATGATCCACAGCGCCAACCCTCATCCGATGTCTGTCCCTCTCGATCAGAAGTTGATCACAAGCATCGAAGTAATTCAATTGCAAATGAAGGCTGAGTTGAAATGCCGCGAGACAGATCTACCTATCTCGGAACCTGAGGAGAACTTTAAGATGGTCGATGACAATCTCTTTTGAAGTGGATGGTTGGCAGGATAACCGACCGTGGATTGGCGGATGATGTTCCATCATCAACGTCGAGCAATGGGAGTGGTGCCTTGTAACCTTGCTAGCGAGCAAGCAATGCAGGCGCCAGCCAGAACTAGGCATTTTATTTCTCCGAGTACTAATCGGGCGATATTAACTCCAACAGTCGTAGAAAGGGTTGGAATGAGCGGTTCAAGGCACAGTTACTATCGAGCACGGCTATCATTTTATTTGCATCAGATGGCAAGTATAACACTTCCGGTGAATCGAATTAGACCAGAAAGTATTATTTATTTCATAGATGATACTGGCATTGCAAAAATAGTCACTTGCAGAAGAAGTACACAGCAAAGAGAAGTGCGTTATACGATATCCGCATAAATTGGTAAGTCGGCCATATCCTAATGCTGGTCGGAAGACTGGCATAAAAGGTTTGAAAAGTCGTCAGAGGGTGTGATCAATATACAAGACTGATGGATTTCAACTCCATAGTTACGCTCAAGAAACATCGGTTCATGTTGAATTTGAGAGCAAAAGACGTCACGACCACCGTTTTTATATCGAGCTATGTCGCCGTTCGTTGCTCTTCCCAGTCCCTGAAGGGACACTTCTTACATATCTCGAAAGTCTAAGGCGAACGCCAAACCTCACAGTGGAGTATTCTTGTACAAATTTTTATATCGATTTTAAACAGTACAAAGCCATTAAGGTTCTCCCAAAACTTTCACTTATATACATGGATTATAGAAAGCACAATGTGCTCTATGACCGTGCAATCAAGATCGTTACTGTAGTCAAATCTGAGCTGATGCAGCCTGACGAACCAATTGTCGGTCCGGATCTTCCAGAAATGCATGCTATTTTCCATAGATTGGCTCGTCCAAGGGCAGACTTGCCACGCGGGGGAGATAAAGGAGTGTCATTTAGTTGTGTGTGGTCATTCGAGAACAATCTGGTTGACTCCCGTTCAGAAGTATTTGCTTTATTGAATATGAATCTGGCATGCGCTCAGCACCTAGTCTGAGGGTAAATCTTTTAGTCTGCTTGATGGAGCTGGTCTAACTTCCTTGCTGTAGGGAAAGCGGCATATGGAAGAAGGACCCGGAGCGTCGTCTGTTAATGGTGCCAGTTATTATTGGAGTAGCTATCTGCCGAACACTAAAGCGGGCGAATGCCGCGCCTCCGGCAAGTGGTTATCCTAAGTAGAACTTTAGGTGGCGTTCACTACACACCAGGTTTCCTGTGTTTCCTGCCTTGCCGCCAGACCCGGGCTATAGAACATTGCACGAAAAGTTAGGCACTTAAGAATAGCTAGAAGGACCGAGAAGAGCAGAGAACAGGCTACATTGCGATAGCAAAGCCTTGTTTTAAAGCATAAACACCACTACATCTGTCCGCGTGACTGTAGCAAAACGTGGCGGGTCCGAATTAACGTAGATAAATATAGCTAAACTAGACAGGTCTTGTGACCTGCCAACTTAATCACGAAGCTGGAGCTTCGAAAAGCTTCGATCCGTGCAGAGCACAACACGATCACGATCATAAAACAGGGTATTATTGCGGTCCAGCCAGCAATTGTGCAGTGCAGTCAGCAGTTGGACGGGAATCCGGCCCAGACCCGACAGCCGAGGAAAAGGCGAAGAAGGGGGAGGCGGGCTTCTGGGCCCGGCTGGACCAATGCGATAGCAGTTTAGTTGATTAGTTAGCCGGTGGCAAGGTTTGGTCACGGGGTTGTGCCACAATCAGAAATCGTTCCTGAACCAACAATTCCATCCATTCCATTCAACGGCCCGAGCAAAGCGTGGCCCAGCGATGAAAAAATTTGCCTCGTGTTCCTGAATTCGCCCGATCAGGTCATCCCGTAGTAGTAGTTGACAATGCCGTTGTTGTCCCTTCCTGCCACATCAGCAGTAGCAACTGGCAAGAGCAGCAGCAGTCATGCCACACAGGGCAAGGGATACATGCGGTAACCCCAATTCCGGAGATCGGCGCTTGGCTTTCCAGCTCGATTGAAATGGAGGGAAGAAACACCGCCTTTTCGAGTTGGCGACAGCCTCAGGCTAGGAATTTAAGGTTAACTTTTTCTAGTAAAGTCTGTCGTACATCTTCTGGGGGTGAGCGTGGCTTGCTATCATTCAGCAAGTTGCGATTGCCCCCAGTTCCCTACCCACCCTAAGGCTTAAAATGTAGTACCAAGACAGCTCTATCAACCGTAACAAAAAGACCTCAGGAGATCTTCCCTGCCAACTCAGCCAAACCATGACATGGCGTCTATCAAGCCGGTCGCTGGTAAAATGTCGGTGTCATATTTTTAGGTCGCCTGATCGCCGCGAAGAGTTTTCCCCAATCCTTTAGTGTGCGGGCGAAGAGTTGATGCTCGCCCCTGAATGGATTGCTTCCGGCGTTCCACTCCATACATCGCGGTGGGCCCTCCCACACCCCCTTCGCTTTCGGTATTTATTCTGGCACGCCTTGGGGGGCGATCCTTTTTTATCCCCATCAGCTCGCCAGAATAGCCCACACTTCCACTCTTTTCACCTCAGTTCCAATTCAGGACACTGATTTCCCTCACCACCATGGCTTTCGATTGCTACTGCGCAATCTGCGGTGTTGGTTTCTGTGGCATGCACATCGAGGCCCCGTCTGAGACGGCCCTCGAGCGCCGCAGGCGGTGGATCGAAAAGCGATGCCGGGCGCTGCAGGCCGGCAAAGACTTCAGGCAGGTGTCCCACGAGGGAGAGGAAAATGAGGAGC